CAACAGAAAAACCAACAGAAAGTTCAACTGAGCTAACCGACAATACATCGACAGAGCAATCAACAGAAAGTACAACTAAGCTAACTGACACCACAACAACAGAACAATCAACAGAAAGTACAACTGAGCTTACCGACATCACAACAACAGAACAATCAACAGAAAGTACAACTGAGCTAACCGACATCACACCGACAGAACAATCAACAGAAAGTACAACTAAGCTAACCGACATCACAACAACAAAACAATCAACAGAAAGTACAACTGAGCTGACCGACATCACAAGAACAGAAAAACCAACAGAAAGTTCAACTGAACTAACCGACATCACAGCGACTGAATCAGCTACAGAAAGTACAACTAAGCTAACTGACATCAACACGACAGAGCTGGCCGACACTACAACTGTAGAACAATCAACAGAGAGTACAACTGAAGTGGCCGACAATACAACGACAGAGAGTACAACTGAGCTAAACGATATCACAACGACAGAACAACAAACAACAGAAATAACTGTAACGAAAATAGACACAACAAATCAACCACCAACAGGAAGTTCTGTAACGCAAATAGACACAACAAATCTACCAGCAACAGGAAGTTCTGTATCGCAAATAGACACAACAAATCAACTAGCAACAGGAGGTTCTGTAACGCAAATAGACACAACCAATCAACCATCAACAGGAAGCTCTGTTACGCCAACAGATACAACGAGCCAACTAACAACAGGCAGTTCTGTAACGTCAACAGATGCAACGAACCAACCAACAACAGGAAGTTCTGTAACGCGAACAAATGCAACGAGCCAACCAACAACAGGAAGTTCTGTAACGCGAACAGATACAACGAGCCAACCAACAACAGGAAGTTCTGTAACGCAAACAAATGCAACGAGCCAACCAACAACAGGAAGTTCTGTAACGCGAACAAATGCAACGAGCCAACTAACAACAGGTAGTTCTGTAACGTCAACAGATGCAACGATCCAACCAACAACAGGAAGTTCTGTAACGCGAACAAATGCAACGAGCCAACCAACAACAGGAAGTTCTGTAACGCGAACAGATACTGTAGTAACAGATACTACTAAAGCAAATCCAACTACGAAAAACTCAAAGCCAGTTGTGAATGAACGAAAATTTCAAAGACTCTGTCCTTGTCCGTGCTCAAAGAAAAATTTGGTAAAGAATAAAACACAACTAAAGGAGAAAGTAGAACAGATTAAAAAACAACTTACGGTATCAAAAACCAACCTATCGTCTACAGTTCGTAAACGAAAATGTACACCTGATTCAAGAAGTTCTTCACAAAATATCGCATATATCGCTACAGTATTAATATCTATTGTTTGTGCAGCCATCGTTATCCCTGATGTTTTCAAAATTTTCGGCATCCTTTTTCGCAAAATCAACAGATCAGAAGAGGACGATTTGGATATATAATAATAACAATTTTATCTAATTCAAACCCTAAAGTCAACTACAAAATTATTGCACCCTATGTAATACTATTTTAATAATGATTAATGTTTAAAATAAAATTTCATTTAAATCAAACTAGATCTACCTATAAATATCTCGACAAATCGAGTTTTACAGTTTCAGGATTATTTCGATTTTTGGATCACATCGGTACAAATTCGACAAAAAGAGTTTGTATGTATCAAACTAAGCTCTATCAGCTGATGAGACAATAACTCAGACGACAATACCCTTTCAGATGTTTCTAAAACACAAGAGGTAGACTTGATCAATAATTTAATTATAAAAGAATTCAATATCGATAGTAGCCTCGATCATATCCAGTGTATGGTACAACATCTGTGACGTATTCCGGACTATTATTATATGATATAACGGATGGTGTGTACGAAACCATTCTTGGTTCTTCAACAAACTCCTCGACCACCACCTGTTTAGGTTTCTCTTCTATTATTTCCGGTTCCGGTTCTGAAACAGAGAAACATTTTACAGTATCGTCAGCAATCATCGACTACTGTTGTTTTACAGAACACAGAATGTCCTTTCGCCACGCCTTGATCATAAATTTGACTGTTTGTCATCAGCATAAAATGTCTTTCCATATATTAAAATATTACGATGACCCAGGATTGTACGAAATTGTAGATGATTCGCCACTTAGAATTTCATCTTAGCCAATTATATCATAATTACCTTCTACGATCTGTTTAACCTTTCTTATCCTCGGGCGGCTAAAATAAAATAAGAAAAGAATTAAAGCCAAATTTCGTATTTTGAATTCGATTATGAATTTCCAGACATTTTGATCTATTAGTTTATACTTATGTTATGTTTCAACGAGTTAAATGTTTTCATTTCGAAATGTAACACAAATTCATTTCCCTAAAATCATTGTTATCACTTTACTTTTTCAAGCTACAGCTTCTGAGCTCTTGGGCCACCAAACATATCTAATTTCCCCCAGTTCCGATCAAAAGGTATGATTAATAAAGTTTTACATACTATTCTCTTGTTTCATAAACCTCTTCTACTTCTTTGTTACTGAAAACAAAGGGTTTTGAAAATTCAAATTCAAAGTGTACATATAAAACCATGGTGTTGGCAAATGGCAAAAAATGGCAATAAAAACCCTATATACTTATTGTATGTCAATTGACGCCCTTGTGTTCAGGGGTTCAGGAGTCACTTTACTTTAAGATGCACCAAGAAAACTTTGTCCTTTTTTATAAAATAAACATATCTTATCTGAAACTCAATGTATGGAATTAAGAGCTTAAAGATTTCACAAGTGACTACGCTTTGTGTTTGTAGCATTATATATGGATAGTTTAATAAGTATCTACCTTGAAAAACAATCACAGAAGCTTTTACTCTGTCCTCCAGAAAAGCAGGAAGACGAATTGGAACCCCGACAGCAGCAACACAATAGAGCTGCCAGACCAGCTAATGCCAGCAAACTCAATAATGCAGCTAGTAAACCAACATTAGTGGAATCGTCTAGGAAACTTGTCGAGGATGCTGTCTGACTATTTGAAGAAGAACCCTGGAAGAAATGAAGTTCAAGAGTTTTGAGAATTCAATCGTAACACGTTCACTTTAAAATGTAGTTCATGCCTCCAGCTTCGACGGCCATCGTCTACCTATTAAGTTCTATTGTAGGACTAAGAAAACCAACTATATGAACTCCCCATTACGGTAGGTTACTTCAGAAACGGTAAAAGAACATGCCATTACTGAATGCATTTCTACAACATTATTAAGTAAGATGATAAAACACACCCCATTATTAAGCACAATCACTGGTGTATTTGTAGGTGGTACGGGTGTAGTGGTCGTTGTTTGGAATAAGACAGCTATTGTTGTTGTCGATGTCTTTTGTGGTGAACCTTTATCCTTAGCTGTCACCTCTAAATAATGTGTTTGTCCAGCGAGACTATAATCATACTGGTTTGAATATCGAACCTGAAAATAATTCGAAGGTATTACATATATTATGTGGCAACATCCAGAGGAAAATAGAAATAACTTAGATCATTTTGATGGCAAAAGACAAAATTATGTCTCAGAACTGCAGCAAGCAAGTCAAAAGCAGAAAAATAGACCGTTTAATCTCACATTTTGCATAGAGTTGGTCATAAATATGCATACTTCACCGTTCCTGAGTACATTTACATAAGCTAAAGCTTGTGCTGAGCCTCCAGTTAGACTATACGTGACTTCTCCATTACTACCGTCGTCTATATCATCAGCTACCACATTACCAAGCACACCTGAAGAATATTGTTACTAACGTTGATGAACCTTAAACTAGTATTATTGGTACAGAAGCGGGAAATAACCACCGAAAAGCAGATATTTTTATGTAAAGTTAACAAACTAAGTAACAACTGGCTATGTTGAGTATAAATGCGTACATTATGCCATCATAATAGTTATGTGGATCATGTTAAAGGGATGTGCGACATCCTCCAGGGTGGAGATGAAATGGACCAATGGATTGAAGAGCTTTACAACGTGAACTTACCCAAGGACGTATCAGCACCAATGGAATACACTGGTTCAACAGAACCAAAATCCGGAGCGTTGTCATTAACATCTCTAATGTTCACTTGAATCTTGGATGTCCCTGTCTTCCCACGGCTATCAACAGCGGCGACGGTCAGTATGACCTGATCAGGCATAACATTATCATCAACATCGTAAGTGGTCTGAAAAGTCAACTTGTTGGTGTCTGAAGTAAGGGTAAATCGTTTACTGTTGTTTCCGGGAAGAAGGATTGTATCAAATTTCTGGTCCTCTGGTTCCGTTATGGTCATTGGAAGATCACAAGTCGATACACCAGCCTACATATCAATATACATAGCTTATGGGACGTTTGGATAACAACCAAGGTCAACTTAGTATCCTTTCTACCAGCTGGTCCTTGGTCAAACTCCTTGGTACTGACCATGATCACCATTTGTTAGACGTAACCAAGCAAATCAATTATGCAAAGAACCAACGACTGTGCTACAGATTCCCACAAAGTATAAGATAGCCATGGATAGATGGAACGATATAGGTTGTATTGAAAATGAATTATAGTACAGCACGCCTATCAGATATTGGGGTATAGCAATAACAGGTGTAGTGAAGCTCCCATACCATGTCTTTGAATGTGCCATTGAAAGCATAAAGCCAATAGGTTCTTCATTTCTTGCTCATCATTATTAATTGTGTAATTTTATACCCAAAGACACATTGATTGGACAAAATGTTTTCACTAAATAGTGCTCTATTAACCTATCAATAATTGTAGAGGGAAATAGAAATATAGATACCTTGGATTCATATAGATTACAAGTGTAAAGTTCCTGGTTAAAAATTGGTTCTTCATTGACGTTTTCAACATAGAGGTTGATATAGTCACCTTGATTATCTAGGTAACCATCATTTATCTTGCAAGTTATATTATAAAATTTGGTAGTCTCGAAATCCAGTAACGTATCACCATCTGGAACTTTTGCCAATTTCAATTTTTGGGCTAAAAATAACACAAAAAAAGAATTATGACGATTTGTTAGTCTTCTATTTTTGGGTGTTCAAAGGATGTTGAATGGTAATCGCCTTTGCCAACGCACTTTTGCCACAGGATTTGGAGTTTCCCGATTAAAAATTGTCCAAAAAAGCATTAATTCGAAATCTTCGGAAGTCTTTAACAGTCCAAGTGTGCAGCACGGTTCTGTGTACACCAAACGCGGTAACAATATCTTCTAACACATGCTATATTTCCAACACTGATCCACCGATGTCCGATAATCATAGTTCCATATAGACACATATGTTTATGCCCATGTAGGCCGCATTGGTTAAGAAATAGAAAAAAATTGACGCTTGCGTTTTCCATTCAAGAACTTACTAGATGGTTCATAATTGAACTTATAATTTTCAGAATTTGGAAAAACCGAACAAACTGGTTTAAGATTATTAGTTGGACCATCATCACTGATTGACAACTGTAATACTGTGTCCCCAGCCTCGGCATCTTCTTTAATACTAACGTTAGTTGGTAGATTGGTGAACTCTGGGCGAGAATTCAAATCTGAAAAAGTAATATATTAATTTACTATACATGTATATCATAATCATGCTGAACCGAAAGGATGATGGAGGTTCTGGACAAATATGATATGACATTTCATGTTTTTTTATAATATTTTAACATATATTAATCAGTACAGTTTAACATATTTATTTTATATAGTGGCCTACATAGATTTACATACCATCAAAATATGTAAATAATGTATGTAAATGTCATGCAGGAGATATAAAAATATATCCATCTAATATATTCATCAGTATAGTTTAATATGTATAGTTTATATAGTACATATTATTAAAAAATACAATAGCCTATGTAAACAACAGAGCATAACATAATATTGAAATTGTTGTATAAATATAATATATGAAGTAGAAAGGTACATATTCTACATATTATACCTTTCAGTCAGACAAAATTGATATTAGAATTAATAATAGTAAAAATTTACCTTTCAACCTGACAAAAATTGAAAAGGGACCAACAGTATTTTTACCATCACTGACATTAACTTTCAATGGTATAACATCCACAGTGGCTAGGTTTAGATCTACAGCAGCGACGATTTTGCCCGTAGCTAGAAAAATAATGGAATTCATAGCGATAGTAAACTGTGGAAATTGGCCCTTAGGAATGTGGGTATCAGCGTATGAAAGCCTTGTTCCTCCGACGCGATATTTAGATGGGATATCGGACCTAGTTCCTCCGACGCGATATTTAGATGGGATATCGGACCTAGTTCCTCCGACGCGATATTTAGATGGGATATCGGACCTAGTTCCTCCGACGCGATATTTAGACGGGATATCGGACCTAGTTCCTCCGACGCGATATTTAGACGGGATATCGGACCTAGTTCCTCCAACGCGATATTTAGATGGGATATCGGACCTAGTTCCTCCGACGCGATATTTATATGGGATATCAGACCTAGTTCCTCCAACGCGATATTTAGATGGGATATCGGACCTAGTTCCTCCAACGCGATATTTAGATGGGATATCGGACCTAGTTCCTCCGACGCGACATTTAGATGGGATATCAGACCTAGTTCCTCCGACGCGATATTTAGATGGGATATCGGACCTAGTTCCTCTGACGCGGTATTTAGATGGAATATCTGACCTAGTTCCTCCGACGCGATATTTGGATGGAATATCGGACCAGTTTCCTATATCCCATCTAAATATCACGTCGGATGAGCTGGGAAGGTCCAGATTTGTCGGGCTAGGTCCTGTACATGATGTAAGGAACGAGATATCTTGGCCATACAATGACGATATTACATGTATAAAACTCGTGGGTTAAGAAATCTGTGAATTCGAAATCCACAATGGGTAGATCTACTAAAACATTTAGTAACCTACTTTCATCAATGCTAAAATATCCTAAATCTGGATCACTATACATAGTGTAAGTTAATGTATCACCATCAATGTCGCTAGCCGGTACTTTATAGATGAAAGTATCTTCAGCAGTTTCTTTTGCTTTGAATTTGGTAATAGTGACTGAAAATAAAGAGCTAGAACTGAACTTGTCGACAGAACTGCATTTTGAATGTAATACATATATATTTTTATGTTGATATACCTATCGTATGATCTTGATATATTGTTTGACATTCTATATTATCAAGTCCGTAGGAACAAGCCCGGCCAATTTCATTACTTCAACTAAAGACCCCCAGATATATTACTTGCCGCTCCAGAAGAGTTATGGAAGGCTGAAATTCAGTCCTGGTTCAGCAAGACCTTAATAGTAAATACGATGTCTGACAAGCGAGCCTGACGAAATTAAAAAGATGTGACCCAGGGTAAAGAGTAATACTAGGTACCTACCCGAGGGCCAGTCTGTTATCTTAGGAGGGGAATTGGGATGAACATCAACTTCCAAATCCTCTTTCGCCGATCCACATTGAATATGGAGGATGTAGGTTGGTGTTTTGGAATAGTCTAATTTGGTATATCCTCGGCCATATTTGAATATAACATCATACGCTGCAAAATATAAATGTCGTTTATAACTGAAATTCACAGAATCAGAATCAATTTATATAAAGAGGCACAAGGTATTTGTATTTATTATTTCTTAAAGTTGTTGTAAAGAGGTGACGTGACTAGTCACAAAATATGCTTTATCACATAAGACCCTTGACGATTCGTGATGAGTTCCAGGAGCCACAGACATCTGATTGAAAATTGGAATGGTGTAAATTGATGATATCAGTGTCCCCGATATACATAATTTTCTTTTAGAAAGTTCCTTTAGAAGATGGATAGTTCTGCTTTACCCGTGTTTATTTATCTATATCAACGCAGGTATCAGGTGTCTAGAAGAGTAAGCATGCTCTGCCTGGATTCATTTTCAAGCAATCTATGACTTACACGATCCAGTATTGCTTAAATCAAACGGTCCTTTTCTCGGAGTAGTGTTTGTGATTTTACATGATGACTCTGTGGTTTGTATGTTACCAATTTGTGTATCCGCAGTTGCTGTTTCAACAATATTTACCACTGGATTGCTGAGCGTGATTTCCTGAAAATATATTGGAACTTTGAACTTGGTATCTTGCTCTGGATCATTTGGATCGTAGACGGTTTATCAGTAAATGAAGTTGATAAAAACAAGTGTTTCCAATGGCAATTCCAATCATTATGTCACAATACGATATAAAAAACTTACACCCTGCGAATTTATCCCTCTAAAGCATAAAATCATTAAAACATAAGTTATCATCTTAAATATCAAACAATATTTAACATATTTAAGAAAGTATACGTCAACCTCGAATATCGAACACTAAATTGAATAAAGGCAATCAAATGAGCAAATACAAAGATTTGAATAGACAGTGATCGGTGTGAACAAAGAGTGTTTACTTTTGTTTTGTATTTTATTTTTCTGTGATAACATAAACTATGAACGCTATTTTAAGTATACAATGATATATTGACGACTATGTAATTAGAGACGATCTGTTTGAGTCTATTTTAGTCAGGTACAGTCGAGGTTGATGGTTGTTCGCTAAATTCAATATTGGCGATCAGATTTAAATGCAAATTTGGATGTTTCGTTTCTGTTTTTGTTTCTGTAGATGACTCCCTTTGTCATTCACGATCTGACCAAATTGGTATGCATCTCATGGTCTGTATCATGTATTCAACCAATCAAATGCGCTGTTGCACTGTTCAATAAAATATTTCCTCACTAATGATAATAATAATAATAATAATAATATCTTTACAAAAGGATAAAAAAAAGTCTTCTTTGATTAAAGAAATGTTGCTATTGCAGTCAAGGTATAGGACTGCGATATCAGCATCCACTGGAAGGCGTTAACTTGTCATCTACCAACCAACCAGCTTGACATTGATCTATGAGACCCACCTGCCGATCTGGCATCTTTTGAGTTGACTGCTTCGATTTATTCTAACGGACAAAAGAGACTATTGCCGAACGTACAGAAATTTCCTGCATTCCAAACACCTTCTTAGAAACACCCTACAAATCTCCTAAACATCCAAAAACAGACCTCAGTATCGTCTTGAATTGTCAGACTTTAAAGAGACATGTCTGATCTGATAAAGTAGGATGGATAAGTGTAAATATTATGGCTTATCGTTTATTGGCATGATTTCTGTACGATAAACGCAATGTTCGAAAGAATTAGATTACAAATTGCCATGCAAAGAAAAACAAAAAACACAAAAAAATGACGTGTTGTCAAGTTATATAAAACAGATTTATTTAGGATTATCAGAATCAACAGCTCCAAGATGAAAACTTCGGTAAACACCCTGTTTGTGTGTGTCATAGTAGCAGTTCGTGGTGAGTTTCTATAAGGTGTTTTTATCAATCAGTTGGAAATTGAATGAAATGAGTGGAGTTGTAAGTCCTCCTTTTCTGCACCTATTGTGGTGTGCTATGAGGGAAATGACAGCGGCATTCGCCTACTATTTTTCGATTTCCAACTATCGGATGATCTTTAATGTGCACTGGGCTTCGGTTTATTGTACCATCAGCACCTCCAACCTGCATATTAATTAATGGAAGTCTCTGCGCCCCGTTATTATGTTTAATACAGCGACAACCAACAGTACCATACGGTGTGCCGTGAGGGAAAAATAAATGGCAAATAAGAGAAAATACCGTGTCTACCGTGAAGGAATTCTATTATCAATTAATCACAGTGAAGATTTAGATGCCTTTCTTAGGAATTTCAACTCGATCGATAAGAATGACATTCTTTACTTTTTCATTTATGCTTCACCAAATAAATATTTTTTAATGTCAAGTATGCATGGTTGCTTGATTCATTGCGACGCTAACATATTCATTATATCAGATTTAACTAATGTTCAAATATTGTTGATTTGTCCTATTTGAAACAGGTTGCTTAGGTTGCCCTGTTGTACCATAAGCCAAACTTTTCCAATTATTCCAATTGTATTTGATTTACGGATGAGAGTCCATCAAATAAGCTTAGCTTTTCGTTGAAGTATATTAGAATTATTTTTTATGAGAATATTTCCATATTTCAATAAGTTATATTTTCAAACGTTTTGAGACATCTCCGAGGTTATAAAGCTAAGGAAAAAATAAAAGTCCAGGGTAGTAATGACCGCAGTCGGCTTCCATAAATAAAAACACGTAGCTCTCTTTCTATTCTTTTTAGCCTGGGTCAATGAACGTTATTGTAGTTAACTGGGGTGATGGGGCATTTTCAACTTATTCCCAATCGGTAGAGAACACGAAAACGGTCGGTAGACAAACGGGAGATTTGATCAAAGCGTTGCAAGAGAGTAAAGGGATGGATTATGACGATTTTCGTGTGATTGGTCACAGTCTTTGAGCTCATGCTGCAGGGTTTACTGGTAAACTAATTATTACACTTACCGGAAGTAAAGTCGGAAGAGTAACTGGTTTAGATCCTGCTGGTTATAATTTCGCCATTGCTGACGAAGCAGATCGCTTGGCCAAGGAAGATGGTGCTTTTGTAGATGTTATGCATACCAATACAGTCTTTACTCTGTGTAAGTTTTCTTTATCTAATTAATTATCGAGAGTAAGAAGTGTGGCCAATGGCGGAGGTTAAACTAGGTTAAAGATTCGGGCAATCTCAGATATCTCGCCCCCCTCGCCCTCTCTCGGGCGTAAACCTGGCTCCGCCACTGAATGTGGCTGATGTATTATGATATAGAATTCTGAAAGTTTTAATAAAAAGGAATGCAATAGAACAGGGGTTTTCCACCTCTCCTTTCTATTACCACTTTAGCATTCATGATTTTCTCTTAGATTTTGTCCTTGCTTGTTTTTCCATAATGGAGAATATAGCCTGACACATAACCGTTGCATAACAATTGTCAAACCTAGTGAAATACAAAGAATAGATTTCTCTGAAACTGTAATAATTCTTTTTTTCAGCCTTTGGAACTCCTATTGGTCATGCAGATTTTTATCCAAATGGTGGCCGAAGTCAACCAGGATGCTGTACGTATGCTTAATGTCCAAAATTATCTTATCGGACAGACAAGTAGTGTTATTGGGTGATGCTTGAAAAATAATTAAAAACATCATTAAGTTCTGAAAGAAAATCCGCCGAAAGATATCGGGCAATAACCCAAAAAGTATAAAAAATATAGGTAAACGACTTTGGAAAATTTCGGGCAAATCAGCCTGCTCCTTCCCCCCTCCTCTCAACAGGCCTTCGCGCCTATGGCTAAAATAGATTAGTATAAGCCGTAAAATCAGTCAATATGAGGAACTCAGTATATCACAAAATTATATTTCAGTTTGGTTGAGCTGCAGTCACATGAGAGCAACCACTCTTTTTAAGAACTCGATCAAAACATGTCAATATAGATCACACCGATGTCCCGATGGGAATGTAATACCGGAAGCCAAGATGGGATATCATGCCCCCAGTACCTTGAGTGGAAAATATTGTCTGGATACACATGCCTTTTCACCATATTGTGTAAGTCACGATTTTTGAGAATCAATAATGGAACTAGAATAACGCCACTGTTCCCACGATCGATTTCCAAAAACATTTATCTCTTGCCAATGGGCCAATTGTATGGAATTTTAAATGGACCAGTAGTAGGGTATCCATGCGGTTTAAGAGGACAATAGACATGGTTGAGAGATGAGGGAATCTCCCCCTGGAAAATTTTCTGATGTTGGAAGCCGGAGAATACATGTAACCCGATTTTGGTGCATGGAGCCGCTACAGTGTGTGCTCCGGTTGTTACAATCAATAACTGTTCAGATATTCCCTTAATTCGCCAGTTTCTCGTGCTCGCGTTGCTCTCGGTTTCTGCCAGTAAAAGTGGACTAGAGCTTCCCGACGCCTTCAGTATATAATTGACAGTAGCAAAAAAGGTATTTAGAATAATATAAAGACGATAATAAAAATGTTATCACTTTCTTTTTCAGTAAAAATGATATACAGTACAAGTGAATCGATAAAATAACATTAAAAAATAAAATTTATCCATCTTATTCAATTGTATCGTTATTTATTGAGAAAGGGTACTTGATTCGGTTTGTAGACCCTAGATTTCTAAAACCGAAAATATCGTTAACCCTTTTGAACTAACCAAGAAGACTAACTATGTCCTGACGATATTTTGACCACTTAAAAGTCTTATGGCCACGTTTTGACATATTCCTTGTCCAAGCATTGGCTGCACATCCAAAAAGCTCCTCCAACACCCATACAACACTTGAACAAAAGTTGCCTTAAATATATAATATACCGGTTCAACATACTTGATGTAACCAAATAATACCACTCCTTGGATTAGTAAATCTCCGCCTTTTAGCCGCGAATCTTGATTTTAGGATTGCACACACATGAAAGCAGGTCTCAAGACATTTTGGTCAAATGGAATCGAGCTGTGTGAAGTAAGAGAGCTAAAATGTTTATAGATAACTATACCCCTTCAATCAAACCATTCAAATCGTTATCAAGATAAAGAAAACACAATAGAGCATGTGTTGTAACGTTATATAAAACAGAATGAGACTAGGAGTGTTAATAGATCAACAGTTCCACCATGAAAGCCTCGGTAGTCTCCCTGTTTGTCTGTGCGATAGTAGCAGTTAATGGTAAGTGTCTTAGGATGTTCATATCAATTAACACCCCTTTGATATGATTAAGACAACGATTTTGATTTTCAAGCGGGGGAGGGGGGTGGCCTTTCTAGGAACAGGGCCTTTTCTTTCACTATGTAAAATGATACAAAATTTGAAAGTGGAGTGGGGGCTGGGGGACGGGAGACGGCAAAGCCGGGACAGCATCGTAGAAACGCCACTGGGGGAGAGAACTAAATAGTAACAGCGTTCACTGTGCAAGTATACATGTTTTATTATCAATTAATCGCTGAGAAGATCTAGATGTATTCTGTTTATCTCAAAGAACCCCCACCTTCTTGTACTTGATTTTGAAATCAGAGTTCGATGATAAGATAAGAATGTCTTTCTTTACTTTTTTATTTCAGCTCTTCCAAATAAAAGATTTCTTAATCCTTTCAATTTTGGTGAGCAATTATTCTTTTTGGATGTTGATTTGGATGTGTTAAGCGTCGCTTTGAAGAAACTTTGCAAATATGGGCAGCTTACATTAGTTGAACGTTTTATTATTAGTTTTTCAATGCTTCATCTTTAGCAATATTCCTTCTCTTTTGAAAATAGTACATACGTTAAACGTTTTCTTTATATTTTTTTCAAGGGTTATGTCTCTAGCGATATTCCATCTCTTTTGTTACACTTTTAAACTTTTAGCTGTATTTTTGTTGGTTATCTATGTTTTCAGGGTGGCTAGGTTTAATTCAACCTCAGAATTTTGATGTTGATTTTTGGCTGTATACTAAGGGTAACAAAGATTCGGCAGAAACTATTTCCACAACCAATTTAGGAAGTCGGTTTATCAGTGGTGCTAAAACTATCTTCGTTATCCATGGATATCTGAATACGGGTACCCAGTCGTGGATTGCGCCCATGAAGAATGCTCTTTTGGCATTGGTAATTATTATTTATTCTATGTCTAGGGTCATGGGGAAGGGGGGCAATGCTGAACCTCCCCTCCCCCAACCCCTTCCTTTTCTGATCGTTTTATATAGTGAAAGAATTGCCTGTTGTCCCCCTGAAATATTATGTCCCTCTTTTCTCACATAATGTTTCCTGAAAACGCCACTGTCCATGCTGACGAAATATCTGTAAGGAATTTATCACTGAAACTGGCGTCTTGTAGCTCTCTTTCTATTTTTCAGCCTGATTCCTTGAATGTTATAGTAGTCAATTGGAAAGATGGCGCATTTTCAACTTATGCTCAGTCTGCAGATAACACGAAAACGGTCGGTAGAAAAGCGGGAGATTTGATCAAAGCGCTGAAAGAGAGTAAAGGGATGGATTATGATGATTTTCATGTGATTGGTCACAGTCTCGGAGCTCATGCTGCAGGGTTTACTGGCAAAAGAATCACAGATCTCACCGGAAGTAAAATCGGAAGAATAACTGGTTTAGATCCTGCAGGTTATAATTTCGCCATTGCTGACGAAGCAAATCGATTAGCCAAGGAAGATGGTGCTTTTGTAGATGTTATGCATACCAATACAGTCTTTACTCTGTGTAAGTTTTTGTTTATGTAATAAGTGATAACCATTATTCACCATGAGTTACAAGTGACTTTAAAGTATCATAGTGTACTAGCACAATATGGGATTAAACGATGTATACAGTTCAGCATATGACATAAGACATAATTATGTGCTGTCACGTACAGTAGTGTTACTCATTTGTACTTTTGGAAGTCTTTTCCTTCTATTCTCTTAATGTCTGTTCTGCTCTAGAACTATACCACATAACTCATCCACACGTGGTAGAAAAGGTATCAAGAGCAATACAACCAGGCCAGTAGCTACCGAAAAAATAGATTGCTTGCCCTTACAATATTCTGATAACCGACCAAGTCCATTACTACAAATTACACCATTGCCCCTCCGAACATTCTAGTCTGGCAACGACTCTTATATTCTTGTTATGGATGAAGTTATAGGTTTAACAAAGACTTGTAATATATATATTAGGTTAAGAATAACTCTGAAACAGTGTATATTCTGATTTCAGCCTTTGGAACTCCTATTGGACATGTAGATTTTTATCCAAATGGTGGTCGAAGTCAACCTGGATGCTGTAAGTATGCTTAAAGTTCACCAGCATAGATTCGGTTCAAAAACATTTTTTTTAATTTCGCGGGAACATGAAATCCTGCTTTGGTGAGCCCACACAATCCACGCGAAAGGAATGTCCAGATGAGATGACAAGCAAAAGTTTCAAATGAGGGTTTTTCTAAAAGATTTTTTTAGGGAAAGTTGATAAAATAAATTTCTATTTCATCATTTCACAGCAATTCTGGAACTAGCTTGCAGTCACATGAGAGCAACGACCCTTTTTACCAACTCGATCAACACATGTCAATATAGATCACACCGATGTCCTAGTGGAAATGTCATGCCGGGAGCCAGAATGGGGTATCATGCCTCCAGTAAATTGAGTGGAAAATATTGTCTAGATACGGCTAGCTCAGAACCATATTGTGTAAGTCACGGTTTAGATTATTTATTCACCGACAATTACAAGGAGTAGTTATCTTTTCCGTTGTGGGAATTTCATACTCTTATATCGCACAGTTTGTACAGCCAGTGATACTTCCATTTCACCAAAGATCTGGGTCAGATTGTCCCTGGTGATAACCATTTTTAACTAGTTTGGGTCCCGATGGCGGGTGACAAATCACTGACGGTCCTCAAGAGATTGATACGTTTTAAGTATGGGCAGGATCGATTGGTACTCATGATAATTTGCAACATTAGATTGATGAAGACGAAGTTACATTGTCCCATATACCCTCAGTTGCTAGTTCTTGAAAACAGTTGCTCTCAGATCTGTTAGCCACGGGACCGAGCAGGGGCTACAGGTAATTTTTTCACTATCGAAAGTGACAAAGTATTAAGTATTTGGAAGTGGGGTGGGGCAAACCCGGGCCAGCCTCCCCCCTCCCCCGCCACTAACCCCACCGAACCCACACGCTGATTTTTATGACGAATTGTCAAATACAATATATTTTGAATTAAATGTTAGTAATTTCTCTTTCAGTAAAAGTACAAGTAAATTGACAACATTACATTCGTAAATAAACGCCATCATGTTTTAGTCGTTAATTTCTTTTATAAAAGGTACCTTGTTGTACATATCTCATACGAGAAAAGTCAAAATGCAAATAAGCAACGTCCAATTCTCTCCACCTTTTGAGTAGTACTCCGCAACTCTAGGCTGTTTCCGTAAGACTGAATGTTAAAGAAGAGTACATGTACTGGCGAAATTGTCTCTCTTCGTCGTTTGACTGGATAATTGTGGCATTATCGCGAGACCTGTAAATCTAGACTATTGAAAGACTGGATGCGTCTTTACAGGTAAAGGGTACGCTTAAATCTATTATTAACTTTGCAATTAGGAAATGCAGGTCACGTGATAAGCGTGCTGTATGATATTGAGAGTGAAGTCTGACACGAGTGGTGAAACAGGTTAAAATTTGGCACCGGGAAAAATTCTTCACTTTCTTTCTTGGGATATACAATACTATCAATTGTAAGTATACTTGCTTAATTATAATAATTGTTTAATTTGATAATCATCATTTCATAGAATGAAAAATCATAAATTTCTTCATCATATTTGTATTAAAAATTTATTTTAGAAATGTGTTTCAAATTCAGGAACATGACATAGAGGCCTACAATTGAAATGAAATATGATTTAAGGCAAAGTCTGCTTATATCGTAACCTTAATAGATGTAGTCTTAAAACGAATATAGAGATCTGCTAAGGCCACTTGAAAAAAAAAAACAATTTCTAAATTTCTAAATTTTTGCATTTCATATCAAAATATGAGACTTGTAGGAATTTTCTTGCAATACTTTTAACAATTTTTGACCAAAATCTTTTCAACAAAATTTCAATATCGAGGACATTTTTGAAGATTTGTTTTGTTTCCTGCCACCTATGCAGGTAAAATGTCGGTTGTCGGTACTAGTTAAAGAAACCAAGTAGATGTAATTCGATCTTTGGCCAAAAATAGACACAGCCAGTAGAAGTATTCCTGGTTTTCTCGGTTACCCAGACATCATGTCAACACAAATCTAATCATGATGATCGTGTCTAAAGGTTTGACTTTGGTAACAGGAATATACTATGTATCATAAATATCTTTGAAGAGATGTAGGTGTTAGTAACATGCCTCATTTGACCGAGAATGAAAACAAGAATCTAACAAGGCACACATTATTGGTACCATATGAACAATTCCTTATGAAATGAATTGATACAATTGCGAATCGTTCAACACAATATTATGATATGTGACGATTGTTCATTTTTAATCCGGTTATTTTCGGCATCAAGGCGGAAATATAATTTTAACGTGGGAACAAAAAAATTCTACGAACAATGAATAACCTGAATAGCTTATCCTACCTTATCTTATGTTATTCTTAGAAAGATGAATTAACCATGGTCGCTTATTCACTTGATGCCAGAAACAATATAACCAAAGATTCACCGATCTTCAAATTTTAAGACTCATGATATGTTGGTAACCCATTTACCTATGACCAAACATTCCTGTAACCAAATGCCCGTCAGACCAATTATTCGTGTGACCAATTACTCCTGTGGCCAATGCACAATGCCGCTGTTAGACCAATCAAAATTTGTGTTAAAGTATTGCGAAATGATTGGAGTGATTCTGGTTCTGCCTACGTGTAGGTGGAGAGGTGAATCTCTAGCCAATTCAACGCAATTTTATTCTATTTGTCAATTTGAATTTTTCAGGGATAATGAGGTGATAGTGATCTAAAGATTTAACAGTAGATTTAGTTTGTATCATTAAAGTGAACAAGGGGAGAATATAAGGGAAACAATAAGGTAAACTGTTGATAAATACATAGTCCCATAGATCGTTAATGTTCCATAATATGTTTCTTCCGTCTCTTCTATCCGAAACTACCTTAAAATAACAGAACATCTCAGTATTATACTGAATCCCATATTTTAGAGACATTTTCAAGTAGTGTTTAGCTTTAACAAGCAACGCTGAACAATGTTTCCATCGAGAATTGAAAATTCCTACTTGCATTTGATAACGACTCCAGTGATATTGGTATGTCTCAGATCTCAATCCAGATCACAAATAATGCCTTTCAGTAAGCACCAGGATGGAAGTTTGATGGTGTATACCGTGTTTATTGTTGTATTGATTGATCATTATCTCTTCAATTCCAGTATCATAAACGATGGCTTCAAGAGATAGTGGAATATCGGTGGTGGTATGTGGCTCTGGTAACATCAGCCATGTATTAGCGGGGCTGGTTGCAGGCAGAAAAAGTACCACGCTAGCAGTTCTGGTGCTGGACAGAGAGGAATCCGAGGAATGGTCCAAAGCAGCCAAAGAGGGTGATTTTACTCTGACAGCTTTCGATGCCGATATGAACCTTAAGGACACTCAAGTAAAGATTAAAGTTGTAACTGGGGATCCTGCAAGAGCTCTTAAAAAGGCAGACATGATTCTTCTATCCGTGCCGGTCGAGTTGCAACCATCATACCTAGAAGCCATTGCACCTCACGTAGAAGCTAATATGAGTATCGTTGGTTTACCGGGGCAGTTAGGGTTTGAGCTACAGTGTTATCATATGCTCAAAACGAAAGCAAAGAAATGTTGCTTCATAAACGTCAATACTCAACCATTTGCTGGGCGTATCGTGGAATATGGGAAATCAGCCAAGATTTTAAGCCGAGAAGAATCTGTGACTATATCTGTAGCTAAAGGAAACAGCAAGAATGGCAAGGATCCACTCCAAGTTTTACAGTACGTCTTAGGAGAGATCCCCGAACTTCGCCTCTATAATAACTTCTTAGAATCTGCCTTTAGTGACAAATGTATTATCGGGCCTGCTATAATGTACTCCAAATGGTCCAAATGGGATGGCAAACCTGTGTCGAAAAAGCCATTATTTTACCAAGAATTGACCCAAGACGGAGCCAAGCTGATCTCGGATATCAGTGACGAGTTAATGCTAGCAGCTAAAGAAATAACCAAACAGAAACCAAAGTTAGAGCTGAGTAACGCTGTCCATATTTTTGAAACGCTGAAAGACGAGTACCGCTATAACATTGAAGATGATAGCAGTTTGCTTCAAGCCATTAAAACCAATACTGCTTTTGGTAAATATCCCCATCCGATGGACGAGGAATCCGAAGGGAAATTCGTTCCGGATTTTACCCACAGGTTCTTAACCGAGGACGTACCTTACGGACTTGTTATTCTCAAAGGCATTTGTCTTCTAGTGAAAATGAAAACACCTGTGTTAGATAAAGTCTTAGCATGGTGCCAAGAGAAAATTGGAAAGGAATATATCTCTGGAAGTAAACTTGACGGCAAAGACTTGAAAGAAACCAGGGCTCCACAAGCGTACGGTATGAAAAGTCTCGATGATCTTATTACCATAATATCATAAACTCGAGTGTGACTCTGTGGCTCAATGCTTTCATGTTTTTGGGGAAACGGGGCAAAGAAACAGTGGACATGTGCTTTAAATAATAATTTTCAGACCTTAGGCGTTTGAATTAAGTACATGAAAATTAAATGAACACCAAAAGAACAATATTAGTGGACCTTTCAAAAACGTTGTCGAGTTGACAGTTGCCGTAAGATGTTCTAAACAAGCTTGTCTGCCATTTTTTTTTTCAAATCGCTACAGTATCTGTGGTAGAGTTCAAATTCAAAATCTTTCGACCTGGACAAGCTTCGGAAACAGCGTCGTCCACAAGCAATCAAACATTCTTAGAGTAAAGATGTGGTTTTCGATGTTGGGCGATAGAAATAAATTACATGTACGGAATATAGGTTTATATTTCGATATTATCGTTAATGGATCCAAGTTTAGAAAGACGTTGTCATTATAATAATACTAGGATTTAAATTTCGTTTTCTGATACTAACTCTTGCTCTGAAATTTCTCTGGGATTATCGAAGGGCAAGGGTTAGGAATTGCTAGTTGATGCTGATCATTATTCATTCTTGTATAAAAGTTCTATTTTTAAGCTCAAAATTTTATTTTCTTTCATTATTTTATTGATCGCTTTTGTTGTGTTTATTTTCAAAATATAAAGTTTATAAGTATGTTCATTTTATTGTTTCATCCATTCGAAAACTCAGCTGGAAATAGAAAAAGAAGAGGCAAATCAGTATAGCAGCCATCAAAAGCATTTTTATCGGTACACATCAATGCATATTTCTGCGTAGTCTGGTTGCGAACTCAAGTGGAAATTTCTACTTTTCTACATTTGCGGAACTATTACTAGTACTACATTCCTTTAAATGTTAAAATAAGAGGAAAAGCAATTAATAATGGCTTCTATGGGGCCAAAGCGTAAGATTTTACCTCTTCAATAAGGAAGGGGAATGTTGTCCCCACCCCCTGCAATATTTCATGGGTATGTAATAAATGACAGACATGATACTATTGCATTGTTAATATCATGTAATAAAATACCACCAGCTCGCCAGGTGAAGTACTGCACTGCATTGGACACACTGGCTTGTGTAGCCAGTTGAAGCATTGTTTGGCTTAGAGCTAATATCGCAATTCTCATTCATCAAGCAGGTGGTTGTTTCCACAAATGAAATCCTGGTGATTTGGAGGAAGAAGGCTGTAAAAAAATGTGATAAAAATATTTTATTCTCCTTAACTACATCATAATAACAAAACCATCTAGGCATCTTGTTAACCTTTTTAGGACGTAAAACTCCGATCATTTCATTTGTTAACCTTTTTAAACTTTCCATCAATGCTTCTATGTTTTAAGTAACAATATACATGTAATCATTTGGAAAGGCACAAATATTTCACAATTATAGTTTAGAATATCTTAAAATATTAATTAAATAGCCAAATTAGTGGAAAAAACAAAATTTGGTCACATCAGAAGCATTGAAGAAATAGCATACTTGTAATTTAGGTTGTTAATAAGCCAGTAGCAAATCAAACAGAAAGCAATACAAAAATAAAGTAAAGAAAAGAATAGAAACATCAAAAATTAATAATTATAAAAATAAAGGATATATTTTGATCACAGATATAAAGAAAAAGGAAAGGAGGCAGTAGGATTTCCATCCTGCTCCTTTTCATGGCATTCTTTTGTAGCACAGGGTACATCAACTGTTTGTTTAAAAAGTTTTCATGGTATGTTGTTTTAAGATAATTTCCATGAAAAGTTCAAGAACTTTTGCTTCCAAAAGGTAATGCAAAATACAAAAGTTCAGGTAAATGCATGTCAAGTAAAGAATTTCGGCTATAACAAGGATTAGGGAGGAACATTTAACAAATGAGATTTGGTGATTTGGACTAGAATTGAGGGTTTGTCTATTTAAAATTGAGCAGTAATTTAACGTGAATTACAAACTATCATATCTAACAAACAGAACTAAATTTTATCAAGCCAGTGCACTAGCCTATTCTAAAGAGATCATACTACATCTATAAACATTAAATCACAAAATTGATCTGAATGAGATTCAACTGAGGGTATCTTCCTTTTTATGGGATCCTAGACAGACTATCTATAATATTGCCCAATGCCTGACCTTTACAATAGTGATGTGATCTTGTCAAGTTTTCTGGAATTACAGGAACCACAGAACTTGGACAGGAATAAGAATTGTGCGAAGAGATAAACATACAAAGGAAAAAGGAACACCCCTAAATAAGCATAAGATCTCTTAAATGAGCAACATAAAAAAAATTAAAAATAATTTCAAAACATATTTTCTGGTATTGGAATTCAAGCAATGGAATGAAGCATGTAAAGTATTAGTCAAGCATTAAGTAGCAGTCATGGTATGAGGCAAACATCTATAACAATTGGTAAAATTACCCATTAAATGCAAAACAATTCAAAAATAGGGAAAGCCACACTAGGCTATGTCAAACTACCAATAAAATAATAAAAAGTGTGTGTATTTAAATTGTATATTATCATGCTAGCTCGAGTGCTGCCTATGATGGGTAAATGGTGAGTCTGCAAAATTGTGAAGATAGCCACAAAGACCAAACTGACTATCAAATATAATGGCATTGTCTTGCCAATAGATAAAACTTGCAAAATATAGTAGCAAGAGTATTCCTGGCTTTTCTGACAGTAGTATCCCATCATGTCCATCAGAAGTGAGCTTCAGACCAGGTTGCGCAAACCATGAGCAATTTAAATGTTGAGAAGGCCAATATAAAATAATAACATGTTGAAATATAATATCTGCTTTCTATATTTGATCAAAATCTTTGCCATCTTCTTTAGTCCTGTCTACTAAAAGTATGTTATATTTATCAAAAGCTGACATAATACTTTCTTTATCATTCACAGAACAGGACTGAATCATCCATTTTCTTTTGGCTGTTTCCTTCTCTAAATCTAATAACTTGCTGATCTGCAAAACAAAAGTAAATGGCTTCACACTACCTACTCAACATTTACATTTTTGGTGATAGGAATGGAAACCACCCTCATGATTTACAACTGGTCACTGAGGTGGCAGAGCAGCTCAATGTTTGACAGGTCGACTTATTTGAATTTATGCAGCTTTTGACAAATTGTGGAGTAGCGAAACCCAAAGTAGAGTAACATGACATCATTGTTATCAAAAGAAAGTTCCTACAAGATTTTTTGATTTGTGCAAAATATTAATGTCTTTGAACAGGACTGCAATAGAAAACTTGTTGGACTACAATTGAGATGAACAATATCAGAAAAAAACAAGAAACAAAATTGTGATTAAATTTTAATAAGATTGCCCATAATATTAAGCCTACCTCATCAGTGGTTCGTGCCCCAGGTACATCGTTATAATTAACTAAAACTAATAAAGGATGAGATTCTAATTGTGGGTCATCTAGAGCTTTATGAAATTCTTCTTTCACTTTATCTAATTCTTCATTACTACCAGCACCATTTAATACAAAGATTACACCTTGTGTTTCTTGATAATATCTATCCCAGTAAGGTCGTACACTGTCACCACCTATTGGGGAGAGTCGAGTAAGAAATATTGATGTTGTAATGAATAGTAACTGGAATCTAGAGCATATTGATAAAAACAGTGATCAATTCCATGTTCGCAATAAAGATAAAAGTAAGTTTAAAGTTTTCTGTGCTTGTTTGGGACTCGGTTTGAAAAAATCACAGTAATCTGATTAGTTTAAAAAGACCAATCTCTGATGATTATAATCATTCTAATAAAAAATTTTGTGGATACCGTCTCTACTAATGTACAAGTTATTTATTTTATTTTTTTTCTTGGGACAATGTTTATTAAAATAGCCAGTATTTGTGAAGGTTTTAAAAGTGTTAAATATACCTCCTAACTCTTTAACGTCTAAAATACAATTATCAAACATGATAGCCTTGATACTGAAACCTGCAATATTATATATACAGACTAATCAATATCACAATACATCACATCACACTTATATAACATACATTTTACAAGATAGAACTGGTATACAATGATGACAATATTGGATAGTTTGTAAGCTTAATAACACACCATTATCCTGTATATATGTAGATGTTTTTGCAGTATCGGTTAAAAAGTTCATATGCCCATAATTCCCTCAGAGACTAGCAGCCTATAAAGCTGGAGGTAGACCACCTGTTTTTAATTCTGTGAGTTGCTCTAGATAGCTATAACTGCACTCTATTCCAGTTGTACTTTTCAAAATTACAATCAATTAAATATCATTAGAAGCTATATTACCTATAGTTGGCTCAATCTTGTGAATGTCATCTCCACTTAAAACTGCCAATAAAGAACTTTTACCAGCTTTAGTTAACCCTAAACATAGCACTGTAAAATTTGGACGGATTGATGGCGGCCCCATGCAGCACATTCTTCTGCACAACTGTAAAGGAAAATATATATTATGACATGTTTCAACAATCTAAAATCCTAAAAGAGTAGGGCACAGGCATGTTGGGCTTACAAGTTCTAATATCGTTCTATTCTTCAGACATGATCAGTAGGGTTGCGTATGGCCTGGGATCCTTATCCTCTGTCAGAGATCAAAAATAGAATAGCCATTACATGTCAATCCCAGAGACTATATGGTATTGAAAATGTTTAAGGAACTCAAATCAGTACTGGGTAGTATTTATTTAATAAGATGAGAACCACTGTATGCCACAAAATTTTATAAAATAATCTAACTTATAGTAATTCCTTCAATGGTGACATGAACAAGGAACTTATTCAATAGCCTACAAGGCTACATAATATAATCAGTCAATCCAATGTCCAATGACATCATATCACATTTGAACAAGAATACCAAACTGTCTAAGGCCTCTAATAAAACCTTACCAATCAATACACTCGTCCCTACAGAAAATTTGAATAGTCACACTTCAAGATTTCTTACACAGTCTGCAAATCTTCTGAAATGGCTATGCTTTCGGTCAAAATAAACAAGATCTTGCAGGATCAAAACAAATAATAAAAGGGAGACAACTGTTCGAGAAAAATAACTTTGTATCTCTCGGACAAGTTTTAAGCTTACCGAATAAACCCCAATCCGGCACACTACACACATCAGACGAATATTTTCACACATTTTGATAAACTATTTCAACTTTCGAGACAAATGTTCACATTCTTTTCATCATTTTTGTTCGAATTTCACAGGAAATCCTCCACTTCCTGTGTAAATTTCTCGCGTGACGTACATGCACGCCGAGCACAAGCTGGCAACCTGTTATTGTGACACAAGTGAAGATTTTCTACCCATGCCAACTTGCGCAAAGGTGAATTAGATCTGATGACCTTGGCTGTTATTATTTAATATCATTTAATAAAGATCAAGTGAACTCTTGCTGATTACCCCCCCCCCCCCCTCCCCCCGCAATTTGTAAAATATTTTATGATCTCGAAACACCAAACATTAATAACGATACGTCCTCAGATCAGCCCAATTAGATTGATAGGAGTAGGACGTAAAACTCCATTCATTTCATTTAGCGTGCACAGCCTGTAGCACAGTGGGCCTAAGTTTATTGTCCGTTTCCAACTACTAGAGGACAGGACATTAAAGAGAGACCATGGGTGAATGTTTTTAGATCCCCGACATTTGGAAATCGATGAATTGCAGGCTATAATGATAATATTTCTATAACTGTATGCATGGCGTTTTATAAATGTGTTAGCCCAATAGGGAGTAAGAAGGCAGGGCTATAGTAGGAATAAATTTTTTTTATTAATAAGTTATATCCCTTGAATGGAATAAATAATTCCTTCTACCAAATAATGTACGGGTCTTCTTATTGATTTTATCTAAGTTTAATTCCTTTTTACCACGAGATAATGAGAGCTCATATTGTTTTCACCAATGTTCCAACCGACCATCGAACTCGAATATGTTACATCCATACAGTTTTATATTTAGGCTAAACTTTAAATCTGTTTTGTTCCATTTTCCTGAAATGAATTATTGTTTTTCAATTTGACAGTTCCTGTTTCTTCATCGATGATATCTTCCGGATAGACTGTCATGAAAATATTATCAAAACAAATATGTTAAAGGCACGGTAGATATCGGTCACACAGGAAACCTTTACATACTTGGTCTTTGAGACACCCGGCTATCTTTAAAGCATGTAAAAAAACGTGTGAAGGATTATAATATTTCTCAAATTCATCTCGTTCATCGTACCATATATAGGTGCCATTTAACACCAGAATGTCTCTTAAGTTTGTGATGCCACCGATCAGTGAGGGTATTTCTAATTCTAACATTACTTCAAACGGGCTGAAAATTTGAGCAGCGTAAAGATACCTTTTAAATGTTTTCACCGGAAAGTATGCTATATCGCTCACGCCGTGAAATCCCATCGCTTTCCCACCAGCACCAGTATTTTCATCTACTTGATCAATGTATTCTCTTGCCAGTGGATGGCTTTCATATAATTCTCTAACTGAATGCATAGCCTTTTCTAATTTAACTTTACCCATCTCCTTACTACTCCAAGACCACCATTTCCCGCCAGTCTTGGCACGCCTTTCCCAAACATCGGGAACAGTAGCTTGAGAAAATGGCGTCATCTTTAACGCTTTCTGAAACCAAACACGATCAAGCGGCAAGTTTTGTAAGTTCCATACATTTAACAACACGTCATCGTTTATGTGCATCATGCCTTCAACATCATAATTCAATTTCATACTAGCCTCAATGCATCGGTGACCGTGTTGACCTTTTAAAAACTCTTTAACGTCCATTTCAACGAAGGTCACTCTGGCTTTCATGGAGTCCACAAATCTTAGAAATTTATCCATCACAGGTCCACAGAAAACAATATAAGTAAAATGTGGTCGGTAAATATTTTCAATGTAACTAACTATATCATAAAATGACTCGCGATTATATACCACAGTTACTAAATATGAAGATATCTTTTGAGTAGATTTTTGAACGTTTGGTTCCGGACACTTGGTTGTTGATCTACCGCAGATATCTTGGTATGACCTGGTCACGTTGAGGAGTGGGCTCTCAATTCTAGGGTGATATAGAGTCCTATACACTAACCCCTGTTGTAGTTTATTTTTAGAATCAATTTTAGGCTCCTTATATCCGGTATTTGACAGCATTCGTAACCAATCGTTGATCACCTCTTCATCTGCGGAATCTAAAAGTTTATTTTGCTCCATGAATTTACTAAGAGATCTAATGCAAGCGAAGAAGCTAGTCTTATTTTCACATTTCCATTGATCGAGTTGGTTGATCTGTTTACTTCCTCTAGGACAACGGAGATTTACTGGACTGACTGTAAGAAAAGCTACCCAACTATCTAATTCTTGCAGTAGTCGTTGAACCCACATGGACCAAGCTTCATCATCTAAGATGGGTACCAGCGCCCAAAAGGCGTCATAATGAAAAAGTACTTTATCGCGGATAAAGTGAACATTCTTATTCAATACCAAAGGTGGAGCTCGAGAATCTATTTCACCTTTGGCGTCAATTTCGTTTCTGAACAGAATCTTTTGGATAAGTGCAGTCTTCCACACGCCTAGTTTGTAAGCCATTTCCTTGAGCTTTCTCTTATTCGTTGTACCATCATTCACTGTTAAAAAATGGTTCACAAGAGGTCGAGTTGCATTACCAGTATATTTCAATATAGACATTATATTCGATAATTCAAATCTTTGTAAGTAATGAAGAGTCCGTTCATCACATTCTGAAGCCAGGTAGATGAACTTAGCACCATCCTTTATAGAGTTGAGAATCGTATTCTTGAAGTTATTTATCTTGTAAACTCCCCTGCATCTGAAATTAAGAGAGAGTTTGTGTAAGCACGAGACATGGCCGAGTAACGGACAGGGGGTTTCTCATCATCAGGCATTTTAACTCGATGATATGAAATTTGGGTGAGTGGGATGCCAACCTTAGTTCCGTACCAAAAGCTACTGATCTGAACTTATCAAGTTAATGAATCCTTACTTACTTTTCTGTAGGTGAAATATCTGTTTTTACTCTCCAACCTTTAATAGTTTCTTCTGTGGTGAGTTTCTGTGTTATAATTACTTTATGCAAGGATATTGTTGATTTATCACTTTTGTTTCTGGTGTTCCATTCACGTAGTCTTTCCGTGAATATATTTTTAACCTTACCATAATCGAGATTCTCGTTTCTGTAAAAGGCAAATCATATGAACCTAATCAGAAATCTACATTACTTGTCCAATGCAGCTTCAAGCCATTTAACTTGAGAGAGTAACAGCAGTGAATACTACTACTCTACACGGTATATCGTGTTTGGATTATAGATCTTTTGTAGAAAGCAGGCAAAATAAATCATAAAATCGTAATTGATCTCGGCAGTTTCAGTAAACATATGTTGCCAGTGACGTAGCGAGTTTTTGGTCATCCCAGTGCCCGGCGTCCCTTTGGAGGGCACTAGTCATTTCGGGAAGCTGTAGAATACATTTAATGCGATTTTGGAAGTGAAAGTAGAATACATTTTTCATTTTGTATGGTCCGAGGCCTAAATACGACACTGCAAGTTGCAAAGCGCAAGCGAAACTTGAACTGCAGACCGTTCTCTCTGAATGTTGTTGGTTTGCTAATAGATTTTTACCTGTAGTGAACTGGAATAATGGTTGAAATGATGGTCAATGTCGTGACTGTAACTATTATTAACAATGTATATCGTCTTATTGCATTCACTATCATTGGTAACCTTCTCCCCATCCTGGTCAGCATCTCAATAAGTCGGTGTTCTTTAAGAATTAAACAAAATCATATTTCTCCGATCATTTTTGTATGCATGGAAATATTAACTTCACAATGGCGTCTTAGATTGTCTTTGGGTTAATACCAAATTTTATTTGGAAGAAATATGATTTTAAACACGGGATTCTCAGTCAAAAATTTGAGTGTAAATGAAAATTTCTGGGTGTGAAGTGTGTTTTTTTTCAAAAATAAAACCTCCAATCTTGTTTTTTTATGGATTCGAAGATATTCGAAGACAAATGACATGTAATTCAGAATTTTATTTTCAATATTTGAGAATTGGAGACTTTCAGCCTATTATAATTAATACGTGGAAAAGTGAATCCAAATAACACAATTTTAAATATAAAACCAAGAAATATAGTAAACTTACCTTAAGTACAGAAAATGTAAATTTCACACAAATACACAATTGCACTGATCAAAAATCACAAATGGTAACAAACAAACTGTAAAATTACAAAAATAGACTAGACCTGTTCGACACAGATCTGCCCGCTTCCGAGCTATTTTACGTCCTAGGCATTTATATTTCGTAAAACATGAATGGAAATAGACTGTCCGACAATGGTTTTTTTTTGTACCACTCTGACCTACACGGGTGTGAAATAAACACAATTTGACACCATTTGATTTATATCATGACAGTGGAATATTATAGAAAAGCATCCTAGGGGTGGCATGCTAGAATGAACAAGATGACCACCAACCATCCTAACATCTTCAGATTCATCACCGTGATAAAAGCTGAGCAAGCAATGACCGAAGTGACCATCAGTCAGCTCCAGTCTGGTGGTAAGAAACGCCCCAAGAAAAGACAGTATCGCCAATTGGAGCATGAACTGGGCCGCCTGAAAGTCTGTCTTCAGAATAACAGCAAGACAATGATGGAATATGGAGATGCTGTCTCCCAACTTGTTGGCTATTAAAATTAATAAAATGAAAATATCAGCTCATTAGTAGAATTTTTCTGCCCTAATCCGACTAATCCGTGTAACCCAACTAATCCGGATTAGAAAAATTTAATCCGGATAATCTGCCGGGAAAGTGGGAACATCCCCAATTTTAAAATAAATACGAAATACTACCAACTACTATGACTACCAACAACTACCTAGTTTGCCAAGTTTGTTAACTTGTCATCTACCAACCTACCTTATATGGGCATCTTTGATTGACCAGATCACCTATACAGACGGACAACGCCGATGTATTGTAAATATTGTAACCAATTATTATTAAACAGTTTCAAGTTCATAATTTTAGTGCAATCCCAGTCTACAATTACAGTCTACAATAATTATGTTGTCTTATTAGAGTATAATATTATCTTAAAAATTTGGATAAATTTTGATTATACATGTTGATATGTATATTGATTTGTATTAAGCTGTTGTCGAATCTTTGCCGTGGCTATCAATAAGAATCTTTTATGTTATGCTTATATGAGTAGATGTACAATGATTTCGGGATGATAGTCGATGATTGGGAAATTTGTAAACATAATTATAAATCTGTAGTGTCTTCACATTGATGATCTGTGGTCATCAATAAGTGTCATAGATGTAGCCTATAATTTGTAGTTTGTTTGGACTACGCCCTCCCCTCGTTCCGAGTTTAATCGCACTAACCTTTCAATCCCACTGATTTTGTTTCAATAATGTTGAATATTGGCCACATTCCCTTATGGGGGTGGGAGGGGGGGGGGGGGGTGTTGTTGGTTGACCTACGTCAATGAAATCCTCGCTACGAAACTAGTCAGGGCATAAAATGAATACAATAGACAAATATTGCTATAATGTTTTTTTTTTATCTAAAACTGTTATTTATTGAATCAGAATATGAAGCTTTCATTGAATTTTTGTACTGTTTTGATCATTCTTAGAAGTAGTTATTACAGATTAGTTTATGTTAATAACTCTAAGAAATTAATTACAGTCTAGAGCCGCCACTGTTTAGAAATTGACGAAAATATACTGTAATACGTGATTTATCAGTTTTCAAAAGTTGTCCTTATATTCCGGAACACGTTTTAAGATGATAGCGTGTAGTCCGAATAACTATACCGCGTTCTCCGATAGGTATATTGCTATTGGTAAACTATATAGATAACCCAAAAACTCGTAATAGCGGATTGACAAAAAATGATGGTTCGTAAAGAAACTTATTTAGCTTTAGTTATTTATTTGTCATCATTATCATTATCATCATCATCATTATCATAAACACCAGCTTTGTGGTAAAAGTATAGTCATACCTGGTGTTGTTGTTCGGACAATTTTCTAATAACAGTAATTAAAACTGCTGAATATATGTTGCATAAGTCATTGTTAAGACAAAGAAGCAACAGTGACAGAAAGTTAAGAACGAAGGAAAAGATGGCTAATGAAAGAAATTCAATAAGGTAGGAATTTTTAGGTTGTAACATTGCGGTTAAGCAAGGGTGATCATGTGATTTTCTTCTCTTTTGATGTTTGTGTATTAATCATTGTTTCATTCTTGATCTTACCATTAACAGACCTACCAATGGCATCAAGTACGAGTCTTATTTCAGCAAGTTAAGCCTTAAGAGAACTAGAACACCGCTACGAGCTACTGGAGGTAAGGAATCACCTAAAGTCGATGCTGGTCAATTATTCTAGCATCAGAGGACAATAGCATCAGAGGAGTATTAATGTTCAATTGTCTTTGTATGATTACATATATGAATAATAACAAATAGACGTGCGGTATCCGGCACGGTGTACTTGGTGAATAGGGTGAAAATATTAACGCTTTGTTTCGGAAATGTTTTAGACAAGAGTAGCTTCTTCCATTATTCTTCTGTTTCGATAATACCGCAAATAAGAGTAAAAGGTGTCTATTCAAGCTACTCCGTCCACAAAATGCCTGGACCCATGTATTCGCTTCTTCTACTTTCTATGGATCGATGATTCCGCACCATAAACCTAGCACAATAATGTGCCTCCTTTATTTGCGCCTGATGAAATTTAACGATATCAACTTTTTTGCAGATAATATACCTAGTCCAGATGTTTGTTATTTGTCTGGTGGATTTCCACCAGCTGAAATGTTTCCAATAGTTCACACGGAAATTACATTAAGGTAAATTATCTATTAAGTGAGATCGTAGTTCCTATGATACTGGATTAGGACCTGCACATCGCCTGTTAGTCAAATGAAATAAATTGGAGTAATACGGAAACTGTGACAGATGACAGAGCCATTTAGTCTATTTACTTTAAAGTATCTACTGACCATGCCACGATCTAAGAGCTAGGGAATCCTAGAAACACTATTAGAAATTAGGACCCCAGGAAGTCCTTAGATCGTTTCGAGAATACGTGACCTGGGCTTGATAGTAAGCGGTTTGACGGAGTTCGGCTTCGATATGATATATAAATAATAGTTGCACTAATTGAGTAACGAGAATGAACACAAATGTTTGATGCAAGCCTACCTTTCCTGTTCTTGAATTATCGAAAGTATGGACGCAGGCACTATTTTTAGGAGAATGAAATACATGTACTGAATTTACAGGGACGGAACTAAATTAAACTTGGATAAAGACACTATGGAGGAAACACAACAGTATGGTGATACATATGGGTAGGTAGATTCCACCAGGACAACATACAAATTCTACATAACGATATTATAAGATGTCTCGAGCATTTTGATGAAAAATTAGAATAGAATATGTATGTTCAAATCTTAGTGTGTTATCCAAAACTAATACGGAAAACGAATGTTTCTTGCGAAGAAGCACACTTGTCATGAAGGGGGTCGTGAGGTGCACATCTTAAGAAGACAGCATTTAAACGACCGAGTGATCCGACCTTCCTATACACTAGAGGGGTGCAACGGCCATTCTAGCCAAACGTGCTTTAAACTATATTTGAATTCTTGATTTTTTTTTCAAATTATTTGCAGAATGGCGGGATTACACAAATGTTTAGTAGATTTGGTTAGAAGAGTTCATAACCCACCGACATTAAATAAACCAAATGATGACAATGGATTGGGGGTGTTAATATCAGCTGGTGGTCAAAGCGCACTTCATCATGCAAGTTCTTGTTGATCATCATCATCATCTTCATCATCATAATCATCATCATCACGCTTCATGACCCAAGTACACCACAAAATTGTATTATTCGATAACCAAACCAAGCGTCCGAACCTTATTTTAGTTATGTGTTTTGATGTATTATCAGTAAAGACTAAATCATAAACTCAATATTAATCAAAGCTCTCAGCGACCAGCATCATCCATCATCATCATCATATTCTTCAACGTCAAGCAACCGAAGCCTATATCAGCAACATCTGTCATCATTAACATCACCTTCCAACAGCACCCATATCATCAACATCAATGTCCAGCAGCATCCCTCAATCATCATCATTAACATCAACTTACAGCAAAATATAATCATCAACATACAAAAGTATCTATTACCATCAACAACAACGTCCAGCAGCATCCTTCATCAACATCAACGTCCAGCAGAATCCATTACCATCAACATCAACGTCCAGCAGAATCCCGCAATCATCATCATTAACATCAACTTCCAATAGCATCCATCATCAACGTACAACAGCATCCTTCATCAACATCAGTATCAGCATAATACTATTTCATCAACAACCGTCATGATCATCATCAACGTCCAGCAGCATACACTACTATCATCATCATCGTAGCAGCATCTATTATCATCATCATAAGCAACGCCCATCATCATCCATTAACATCAACTTCCAAAAGTGTCCCAATATCATCATCATCATTGCAGCATCCATCACCATCATTAACGTTCAGCAGCATCATGATTATTTGTTTTATAATTGTAGTGTTTTAATATAGTGCTATCAGAAGGAGATACTCTATTAGTTCAGAACCCAACCTATGCTACAATGATATACATAGTAAGCAACTTTTCAGTTTCCCATTGATTTATGTGATATTTTGTTCTTAACAGATCATTAATGTGTAAAGTTTGCTCGAATTTTTGCCATATGGCACCATTGCAGACTGGTTGAAGCATATGGAGAGAAATTGGATCACTAAAGCAGCGGTATTCTCCTTTTCTCCTTTGACAAGTATAAATTATTCTGTTAAAATTTATCAGGTACAACCAATAGGAGCAACTGTAATTGGAGTAGAATCTGATAAAGATGGAATTATTAGCAGTAAAATGGAGGAATTGCTGGAGAATTGGGAACAGCATCACAAAACAGCACGGAGACCACGTGTATTATACTGTGTACCAACGGGAGATAATCCACGTGGAGCATCATGGTCTCAAACCAGACGACAAGAAGTATATAATATCTGTAGAAAATACGAGATGTTGATTATGGAGGATGATGCCTATTACTTTACACATTTCACTAGGGTAGTTATATTGTTCATGTCACATTTCTTTACCATTGAATTTCGGAAACCTCGCCAGAAATGCGTGGACTAGAAGTCGGTCTGACATCCAGCATGTTTGTGGATCACATTTACAGAAATACTCCTACCTTGTCCAGACCTGAGTCCGACACTCATGAATAATTCATATATCGCTCAGCATCGACCATGCTTTGGTATTCCTTCGAAAATTAACTATTAAAGACTGAGTATTATAGTAACAGGATTTTTGTCATTGTTACAATAGTGCTCAATACAACAATAGTACCAGTAGAGCGATAAGATTGAGTGAAAAAAGAGACACCTCAAACAAGAAACGTCTTCTTGACTATTACAGCCACTGCCGCCATCTTTATTGTCGCTAGATGTCGATGGAAGAGTCATCAGATTTGACACTTTTTCAAAAATATTAGCTCCTGGGTAAGCATGTCTAGTTTTGACTTCAACTATACCATGGAAAAGAGTTACACTCTCCTCAACAGAATGCAATCTAAGTTAAAATGAGGCAAAGTCTGGGTGAATCTAACATACATAAATAGAAAAACAATTCAAATTTTTGTTGTTGTTTCAAACCTGGTGCATTTTGTTCGCTGAGGCCTTGACGATCTGCCATTAAGAAGATGCCCACAAATAAAGTGTACTGAGAGATAATGAATTGTAATTTAATGGGAGGAAACTCGTGATCTCCTTAACAATTCCATCCATTGATAGTTGTTTGTGTTTGCTACTGCTATCGTTAACACGACAGAATGAGGAACAGGAATTTCCATTTATATTAGGGAATCTCAAGAACATTGATACTGCTTGGTGCCGTAAAGGCACAGGGTCTGGTGTATGAAATGGGGACTAAATAATCTACAATCCAATACATATATAATAGTTTATTAGATTAGATTATTACCATCATTATTATTATTACGATTACCATCATTATTATAATTACCATTACCATTATTACCACCATTATTATTATTACGATTACCATTATTATAGAATACGACTGGGTTACGTGAGTGCGCCTAAACCGGTTATAGAGTTACTGGCAACTGTCTATCAGACATCCGTTTTATTTCCATCTCAGCTTTCACAGGTATGATATTTATATGGCATTGTCTTGACAAATATTCCCGGCATTGCCCACCTCAAGGCATTGTTCCACTTTTCATTATAAATGAATAGATGCCTCTTTACTTATATCTCTCATACATGGGAAGACGAATCTGAACAAAAAAACTGTTGCAATGGCAACTATACTATAGTGCTTTATTGGAATTATTTAGCTTGAAAATTGGGCTTGCTTTCTATTATTTCAGGTGTTTGTATTGTCACTTTTGCGTCATTGGGGAAATGAAGGATTCTTGAGACAAGGGGAAAGAACTGCTGCATTACTTAAAAGACAAGCTAATTACATTCTGGAAGCCGCCAATAAGTATTTGAAAGGTTCGTGTTGGCCAGAAGTATTTTGCAATTATTATGCAGTATATGTTGGATACAAGAACTGGTATGACAATGAAAACCTGTTAGAAAACATACATTTAGAGTTGCGATAAGGAATAATGAGTCTTCAAACGGAAATCACCAAAATTCGAACGGTTAAAACCACATATCACTGGCTTATAATGGAAAGCATACATCTTTTAATCATAATTTATTTTCATTTAGATGTTTGTGAATGGGATGAACCCAAAGCTGGGATGTTTTTGTGGGTTAAATTTAAAAGATTGGCCGATGCTTCGCTAGTGGTAGAGAAGTGTAAACAGAGAGGTGTATTGATAGTTGCTGGGCATTTTGCAATTCCACAAGTTCGTGTAGCGCCTTTCGTTCGATTAGCTTTTGGCATGCCTACCAAAGAGGAGCTTTTCCGTGTATGTATATTCTTATAAGTGTTAAACATTTTGGCATCAACCATCTCCAAGGAACCTTAAAACCAGCTGGAAGCTTTAGATATATACCGTATATCTATTTAATGCAACTGACCTTATCATCCCTCATTTTGGTTATATATTTGTATAATGTATTCGGTATATCTATTGCTGAATAATCCGTTTTTATGACTAATATTGACCTTTGCACTTTGACGCATGTTACTTGTGAAGCAGGACATGTTCCCTTATACAGGTCATTTGAGTAACCTCCGCAACTAGGTTTGTCAACCACTCGTTGTAAGCATGTATATGTTACTGCTAAACACAGTCAATATTTGAAATCACTCTCACTATTTCCTTTCTTCTGTACTCATTATGGTGTATTTTATTAATCAAATTGTCCTTGAATAAGCAGATTGAACCACTTCAAGATTATGGTATTTGTGTTTGTAAATTTCAGGCGTGTAAAATTATTGGAGAAGTTGCACGGGAATTGGAACAAGGGAGTTAACAATTAGAGAATTTAAATCAAAAACTATGTATTTGTAATAATTTAATTGTATAATGTGTATATCATATATCGTTCAAAATCTGTATTAAAATCCAAAAAAAAAGAAATATCATATATTTCTCAAGCCCATTTGGACATTCGCAATCACAGGGGCAAACCGACAAACCCTAACCTCATTCCATATAAAGGAACCCAGCGTGTGATGGTAATTGAATTAAACTAAGAAGTTGTATTCCATTAAACGACAAGCGACAGAGTGGGGGCAGTAATATCAGTACCATCTCGAGAGACCCCCAGACACCGGAAACGAACCAGTTTATTAGCGTGTGAACCTATGGCAGATTCTTGCTGCTATGTCTAGTTCTTGAAAGTATCATACTAAATAACTGGTAAGTTGTTTTCCAAGTGGTATATTGCTATGGAAGCAAACCATATTCGTAACCACCACACTTGTAAGGGGCGACTGATGCAGACGTGTCTGATAAGGGAGATAATAACCTCATCTATACATAATGGCTATATTAAAAAAAAAGCTGTAGACACCCATGTCAATAAACGCACTTGGAAGTGGTTACTGGAGAGGGTAGGGTAGGGTAGGGTAGGGGGGGGGGGAGGTGGAGAAGGGGGTAGGGAAAGGAGGTAGAAGAAGGGGACAATAACCCTTGTATATGGCTATATTTCAAAATCTATCTTCAGACACCCATGTCAATTACCCATAAATAAAGACTATCATATATCTTGTTTATAAATTTTCACATCATCGAATAATGACCCTGAATTATTATACGTCTATTCATAAAGTATACTGTGTAAAATTATTGTATATCTATATGTATTCATAAAACATATACATGCCAAGTCCTGTGATAGCCATTGAGGCATTCAACAATAGCTTACTTCGTGGGAAATAACAAATATTGCTTGAAAGATGTGATTCTTCCAATTTGTGTAGTTCTTTGCAAAGTTTCTTTATATTTTCAAATACTGGACTTACCAATAGACTAAAAAGGTACGTGTTTTGATGCAAATTGTAACAAAATCAGCATGATAATCTTCTGACACTGCGACCGCAATAACCTTCAAGGTCGAAATGCATTTTTAAACCTGTTTAAGGTACGTGACGGATAAAAACGGATGCGTAATAAGAAAATGAAATTTTGTCGACCTTAGACTGTAATAACGAGCATTGATATATATGCTACTGAATCAAAACCTTAGTTCTCCGACAAATTTGTTTAATATATTATATATATTCAGTATCCTGAATTAAAATATCATGGACGTAACCAAGTCTAAAGTTAAAATTCAATCTCCATTCGACCCAACCAAAAATCGTCATCTCTGGACAATGTGGCGGATGAGGGTTACGGAAAGGATTGCAGATGAAGCCAACCAAATGCAACCTGTGGACTATTTAAACTTTCCATTTGGTAAATCCATATTAGACGTTCCTTTGAAACGGTATATTCGTTTGGAGTCACAAATTCTAGACAATCCTGCCGGTGTAGACTACGCTTTAACAGTTGAACAATATGTGTTTTATGGTATTCCGAGGGTTGTATTGGGTTCGTGTGACTTGAGGGGGAAAGCTACCAACGAAAATGGGCCATGTGATTCCCAGAATGAATCTGACGAAAATAACTCAGGAAAACGTGCACCTAAAATATCTACTGTTACAGATGCTGTGCCACGAACATATCTTGAACCTTCGTTATAGATCACATTGTACATTAGTTTACTGCCGGATCTTAAAATTAAAACTTCAACGTGGTTTACAAATGATACCATCTAACGATTTGAAAATAAAAACACAAATGTTTCGATTGAGTTCCAATCATAAATGTGTGTGTGTGTGTGTGTGTAGCAGTGTCACAAAATAAATTGCTCCGAGGTGGACCATACATACATAAACACCCGAGACAATCTCATTATAGACTGTTAAACACGCAATCAAAGCGTATCACAATATTTGTTCGTTGTTTATGGACTGCACAACAGTCCATAAAATGGTATCTAGTGTGAAAAAAGTATCATGTTTTTGTTAGTCACGCCTCATTATATTGTTTCAATGAACTATCAAGGGCGATAAATCATGGCCTAAAGGTATATTAATGGTAGTAATAGTACATAATGTGCGAAGTGATAAATATGTAAGATTGGAGATAAGATAATGCACTATCGGGCACGGGGACATTTTTTATACGTGAAATGGAAAATTAGTTCTGTCCAAAAGGGTAATAAAGAGGGAGAAGAAAGTGGGGAATGGCCATGCTTTCTCTTCTTCGGTTATTATTTTATTACAATTTATACATCGACCAGCATGTTTTGATTTGATTTGATTTGATTGTTTACGAACATATACACAATTTGTATATTTGCTTTCAATTTTCGTCAATGTTTAAATATCAATTACCAGCTGTTAGTCGTTTTGTTTGCTTTCTGTTATACATTTCCTTCCAAATAGGAATAAACCTTCAGTTACATAATGATTGTCCAAGTCGTTTTACTGCGACAATATAAACTTAACAAACTTCGTACATGAATATCTTTGATTAATAATCGCTGAAGCATCAATTGTAAACGTTTCAAAATAGATCAAAATAAACATTTTTTTAAATTAATTTTATTTCAAATCCAAACAGAACCTTGTAATATTCTGTAAAATGCGATAGTGAGTGACTGTCGACAAATGTTGTAGGTAGGGCGAGAATTTCCTGACCAACTTTAGGCTATGGTAATTTAGAGAATATGTAATAATTTTATTAAAATATTTACCTCAGTATCAAAAGAAGAAACTCGATTAGTTTTTGGGCTATTTAGATATTTGTTAGTATATTTGATGCCATTAGTCGATAAAACACTTTGCTTGAGGCCAAAGTACTTTGCCAGCATTCATTAAATGTTATCCGTCCACTATGTCATAATGAACTTTAAAAGCAGGTGACAAGATAAATGGGGCAATGATAATTTGATATACCAAATTAACAATATTAGATGGGAAACTTATAGAAAGGGATGTTTCTCACTTGCATACATGAGCATCGTAAACATGTTCTGTATAAAAAAAAAAAAACAATTTAAAAATAAGGATATAACATTTAATAACTTCTATTGTGAACAATGAACACCTTGTTTTTTTGAAGAAAATTTCTCATTTTCTCACAAAGATTTGACTACAATACATTTATTATTTGACCATTTTCGATTTCGAGTCTTCTTTGTAAAGCTACCATTTGAAAATAAAGGCGATTATTTTGATCAAATGCATTATAATAATTCACTCTGAGGTCGTACTCATTCTCATTTACTTATCCCTTATGGTTAGATATTGATAAGAACAAGACCATATTTTGAGTACATGTATATGAACATGCAAAGCTCTTTTTTAATTCCTTCATCTTGTTGTATGAAGATACAGGGGGTAAAAGAATCATGCAAACGTAGAAAACATATACAAAGTATATAAATAAGCCAAGCACTAATGACCCGAACCGAAAAACAGAACCCGAAATCAAAATCATTTACTTTTACCCATTTCATAGTTTCTAGATTGCAGAAATAATCACGGGATTTTAAAGGCTCCAACGCTTATAATTCAATAATTGCTCAACTTCTATAAAAATTCAAAAATAAAGCAGTATAAAGATCAAACTTGAATATTTCGAACCCAATTTATCAATTTCGCTTTGAAACATACAAGATAAAGTTGACATAAATCTTTATTAACAAACTTTGTATAATGTTATATGTATCTTGGTAACGGTTTGATAGAACATAGTCATCAATCGAAGTGAAATATTTGTATATCTGTTCTGTACATAGAGAGGTTATTGTCTATATCTTAGACATCGTCACACCTGGCTTATTTCTCAATCCTATCAGCATACACAAATATTGGTGATCACACACGTGCGTGAAGGCTCACTCAACCTTGACGTCGACGTCATTTGACAAAAGGAAACAGCGAACCAATCATCGATCGTAGATATCCTCAACACTGGAGAAATCTAAATTTAGTAACGCCACATGGCCAAATTATCAACCGTTATACCCTTTCCTTGGGATGACATAGCCGTAAGGGAAAGTAGCAAAACCTTTAATTTAGCTGGACACTCGGGAATAACTTATAAGAGGGATTTTGAAGCTAGCAGACGACTTGAAGGTAGGTTTGGAATTTTGCCTCGAATGATTTCTCTGTTTATGATAATGTCTTTGTCTATTTTGAAATAGAACTATAGTAACAGCCCTGTGCTGCCTGTTACCTTTGTGTTTAAAAATATGAATTATTATTAAGTCAAGTCTTTTGATCTGTTAACTAACATGATACAGGATTATGTGTTGAGTTTTATATATATACAATACCATTCATTCTATGAAATGAGAATAAGCTTGCTATTTGAATATTATTATTGATGTTTTGTTTAGTGACTGTTTGGTTTCTTGTCCAGTGTCGAATAAGCCGTCTGTTCAATTTGGTATCAAATACGTTTTTGTTCAATGGTCAAAAGGCTCATCATTGTTTGAATGGCGTTTTTAAGTAATAATAATTATATTTGACATGTTCTTATTGACACCAAGTAAGGACAAGTTATAGATTAAACGTGTAAAAGAAAACCGTTGTCAATAAACAGAGGACAAGAGAGGTAGTAAAAACGACTTTGTGATAGTTTCAGAAGTTAAAAATACATAACGCAGTAATTTAAAAGTAAGTTGGGTGAATTGGTACATTTTTTGACTGAGCGCCTCGTGGAAGTATACGGCATAACAAATGACAATCTGTGTTCTCTATACCAAATTATGAGAAGCAACATCTGGTATAAAGAAACATTGAATGTTTTCCTAACAGAATTCTTGAAACTTCTCATACTGTTAAAACACTAAGATATATGGATATACTACTTCTGCATTTATCAGTATGTAATAAATGCAGAAGTAGTATATCCATATATCTTAGTGTTTATTGTAATCTTCCTACTTCTATGTCTTATAAACAATATATTCTTATACTGTTCAAGTCACCATTTACATGTAAAGTACCATATGATTGTATTATACACAACACGTAATGTTAGATCTGTTGAATGACCTATAGATCTTCAGTATTGGTATGGACATGACCAATATTACGACACAGGACAGTGTAGGAGGAAGGTTAATTAAAATCTGATCTAATTAAACAGATTAATTAATACCGATAGCGAGTAATTATTAATAATTAATATCATAATGATTTGCTTTTCTTTCACCATGTCGAGGTCATTAACCTAAACTTATTATACGAAACTTTTTGTGTTTTTCTTGAGTGCCGTCCAATTAGAAGAAAAAGCTTACTCTATACCTTGCATACCATGTTTATTAATATTATCGTTAGTTTAGTGATTGTGCTTGTAACATGACATTGTCCGGAAGAGTCATATTTTTCGTAGATACTACGAGTTTTTCATTGTCACTACCGACAAGCGTTAATTCCCAACTTCCGAGTTGCTTTCAAACTGCGATTGGACATAACATTGACGAATCTTGTTGTCTGTATCTGTATTCCACATTTATATAAGGATTTTTAGGTTCAAATGGGGAATGGACAACACCATAAGTATGGTAGAACTTTTGTGTTTGCTCTTGCTTCAGTTCGCCTTCTGCTTTTCAGTATTCGTTTATCAAGGGATCGTTAACGGGAAAAGAACATTTAAAACGTGTAGATAGTTATCAATCCAAAGCAAAAAAAAAAAACCGGTTTGACTTAAATGCGTACATACGATTTATCAAAATCTGCAGTTATTAATAATCAATGCATATGATAACTGGACGTCGTATCACTGTCAGTGATTTATTGACACATTACAACCAAATGTCATGACATTTAGGTCAACGACCTACATCAACAATTAAAGTTAATCGAATTATACCCGCAGTGAAATATGAGATATAGCCATGATGCACGGGACAATTTCAATACGGGACACCCTGGGTCAGGTACTGAAAATATTAACAACAATATTACTAGGGCTATCTCTGTCGGTGAAGTGGGGCTTACATGCATGACTGAGTGAATAATGACATTGTGTATTACATTCCGATTGGTGTTGTGGTATTCAAATGCACGGAAACTACCGAGTCAGGTACGGCAATAAAAATATTGCTTTAACATTTCACTCGGTGTTGCAGTCATTCAAATTCAAGAAACCCACCGACACGGGTACAGCAAAAACAATATTGCTTTAACATTTCATTTAGTGTTGCAATCATTTGAATGTACGAAATCTATCAAGTCTGATACAACAATAACTATATTGCTTTTACATTCCAATCTGTATTGCGGTCATATAAATGTACGAAACCTACCGATACCTACAGATACGACAATAGCTATATGACTATAGAGTTTTTCCGTGTCAAGGTAATACTGTAACAATATGTGAACTGTTCTGTGACCCATAGCAAATAATACCAATTAAGATATATATATAATTAATACCGTTTGGTTATTCATTGATTATTTAGTTGATGTATTAGTTAACTCGACCATATTCTTGTTATGTTTTGATTTGTTTTGACCCTTTGCCAACATATTGTTTGGTATTTGCAATTATGGATTTAACTTTTGTCCCTAATAATCGGTCGATATGAGGACATAGGGTCGAACAATATCATCTACGGTATTCAACCATTTAGAATTAATTGACGTTACCGATGTTGCTAAATTATATACATGAATATTCAGATGAATATATATGAATTATATTAACACCAAAATTCTAATCTGTGCCGCCATTTCCAATGCCTATTTCGATAGTCATTTCATGTTCCACGTGTCCAATGGGTGACTATTTGCAAGTGACAAGGAAAATCGACATGACACGACTCTAAGATACAGTTCCGACCTGTCAGTATGAAATCTCAGATAAGAAAAATTCCTTGTTATTCAGAGCGAACGGTGCATTTTAAACGAGTTAAATGAAGGACCTTGATAAAGGACCACGAGCTCGTAACCAATTAAGCCCCTCTATTTACTCCTTGATCAGGTCTTTTACTTTTTCAGAACTTACATTCGGCGTATGATATTCTCATGGAAAAATATAATGCATAATGCTTAACGCATAAAACAAAATATGAAATAAAACAGTATGTGAATCAAATATCAAATCATGTCACACGGACAATATACATAATGCATAAACATGATATTATATATATTAATATTGGAGGTAGAATATAACAACAGGTGCATTATGACATCTGATAAGAGATCTTATCTATATACAGTAGAATAAGATTCAGTTGATAAAATGTAGATTCGTCTAATTTAAACAACCGTATGAAAAATGGACGAAAATAATAATGACTCACGTTAAAGGGTTGTAAAGAGGTTTTCTAAATTTTACGTGTGTCTTGGGGGACACTGAAACACATCAAATTGTACGATTTTAAATTTCGTAATCATACACTTATTTTTAGTGGAATTGCAGGAACCACAGACGTCTAATTAAAAATTGGAATGGTGCAAATTGATTCTATTAGTATCCCCGATACACATAATATTTTTTAGAAAACCTCTTTATAATCTCTTTAACTGTTTAGATGACTTGTTAGGCAATTTACCCAAGAAAAAAGATAAAGGACAAAGCGAAAAAGACACACACAATGGAAATAAAACTCGATATTATCTTTATAAGGTCCTCGTATTACATGAATCCTTTCAGGACATATTAATTGCGTGTATATAAATTATGGTAATATATATTTATGCCTATCAACTCCACACAATATGTCAGGAAGTCAGTAGACGGTGAAAGGATATCCATCCTCTCTTTCCTACTGCCTTTTAAATTATCTTAATATATCGTTCATTCAAGCATAGAAAGTTGATATCAATGATCGGTCAACCACGGAAGATAAAATTAAAATCGTCGCCATCTCAACCGTGGCAATGTTGCCATGACATAGTTTAGAGAGGGACAACTGAAATTTAATGCGAGTTTGATGACTTTTGTTGGTTTAAGTTTGAATAGATTTAGGCGTTATGCAACTTCTTATTTCAAACGTTGACAATGGCTCGTCCCATATTTCATTGATTTTAATACATTTGAAGTGGTTCCAATCTGCGGTCACCTTTGTTAACCCTATAAGGTCCATCAGTGATACATCGTGATTTATGTGTTTAAGATGTCCCATCCTTGGTAAGAAGCAGGTGAATCAACTACACCTCGTCTTGAGATAACACAACTGAAGGATAATATGTACGTAAATATGAAGAAATTGAAATCAAAAAGGTGTGGGATTTTATGTTTGTTTTGTAACAGCAACACAATACATAGTTAGATTATTATCACCCACTGCAGTTTTTCTGTATAACCAGTTATTTGTTTTAAAACTTGCAAATAATTCCACCTTTGGTCATCAAAACGTAAAACCAGTCACCGATCACGTCGATTTATGAATTAATATTTATGTAAGTAACACCTGATGACATTCTGCATTTGGGATTTTCAACTCGACAACGCTTTCACATATTTATTTGGTATATTTGCCATTCGCAAATTCATGATTAATTCAGTCGGAACAGTGGCGTTTCTAGGAAACATTAGGTTAGGGGGCGAGAAGGGGGCCACCAAATTTTCCAATGGGGCAACAGACCATTCTTTCACTATGCAAAATGATAAAGAAATTGAAACGCCACTGGTCGGTAACAATTGGATTGGAATGTGGCTACAATCCCCTCATGACTTTAAGTAGTTAAAGATTCAGACCAGTATTTGGATGCGTAGATGATAAAGCTCCATAAATCTAATGCTTTTTGAATAGTCAGTGTAAATCCGGATTAGGATTTAAGAAGGATTTAGAGTACATAACCTTAGACGTGTCCTTATCAGTATTTTTTTGTGTAAGCTGTTTGAACTGTAGATCAGGTCATGGTTAATATGTGACAACCAGAAAATCTAGAAATAACCCTTTTAAATTAGGAGATAAATTTATCATAATAGCAATCTCTTGGCTCATTTTCAAACGTTGGGTTCAAACTTAAACGTAGTTTGCACTGTAGAGCTTGAGGTGAAAAGTGTGGGAAATGAGATTTAAAAATTTGGGTTATACGGGTACATTATATGCTCATTGGCCATATATATTCTCATCAAGATATGAAAAGAGTTCTTTTACATAGGTTAGATCGCATCAAAGGCAACTAAATGAGGCTAAAATATTTAGTGGCATAATCTGAGATTGAAATATCAAGCCTGCTAATGTGGAAATAAGGCCAAAATAAAAAACCAAGGCCTCAGAGACTGGCTGGCAGACTGGCTACATTTAAGCACTTTCTATCACGAACTTGCTACCAAACATGTATATTTAATAACAAATCACACTTTACAATTCCAATAGAGTAGAAATATGGAAATATTAAGTTGGTTTTCATCATCTTTCGCCTCAAAGCTTTCAAATTGTTGCAAGATCCTGTTAACTAGTCTTCTTCAATCAAATATGTTTGGTTTTAATTTCCTCTGTAAATCCTGTAACGATCATCCGTTCGGTTCCAACTTGCTATAGATACTATATACTCGCATGCTAAATGGTTTGTAAATAAACGACGCTTAGCACGATTTAGTTGATATATTTCTATGAAACTGTCTTACTTGTTATTGCAATTAACCTGTTTAAAATACAACAAAGAAAACTATTCACTATTCACTTCAATATTATTTACCCCTGTATGTAGGACCGATACCAGTTTACCAATTTATTTTCAGCCCATAATCATCTACATGTAAATAACAAAGAGTATGATATCAACCTTACGTGATGTCAATAATGGTCAATATCAACTGTGGATCAGATAAAGTTCATTTCATCCAGTATCTGCCTGTTACGTCGACACCTACTCTGATAAATTATATTACTAACAAAACATCCGTTTTAATACTGTTTAGGATTAAGATTCGAACCGGAATCGGGATAAGCCGAGTAGTTTAAATGTAAACAGTTCAACAATACATCGTGAGTAATCAACAGAGGTAATTGATAGGTTTGTTTATTCGTTATGATATATAAATTCTTGCACATAAAATGTCATCTAGTTCAGGTTAACCTCTCAGGATATCATATATACTATTATTTTAATACGAAAATTGGTATAAATTTTGTGTGATAACAAAGTGTCATATCAATTGTTCAGTTGATAATAGTGTGTGATCTAAGGGAAACATTAACGTGCTTAGAAGGAATATCAATGGGTAAGTTATATAATTTAATGAATTGATAATGATGTGTGTTACTGCCCTAGTGTTGCTCTTGATCCACAGAACTAGAAAAATGCGATGACTCCAGATGCTTAACGTTATTATAATGCTTCACACGTTCAGTGCACCACACACATCTAAGGCTTGAGGAGTCTTGACTAAGATATGCTTAATCATGTCAGACCTTATGTTAAGGATGGATTTTGTTGAACTTGACCGAGGAAAGCATTGAAGTCCTAAGACGTCTAGTTGACCCACGATATATGATGAGGATTACAATTCAGGAAATGCCCATCTTTTCGGAACACTATTTGGCTATTTTCACCATCATGTAAAATATCCCCAGTTCATTGCATTTTTAGCCAGGAAAGGACGCAAAAACTCTTAATCATTTTTATTTAATAATCTAAATTAATAGCTAGTTTTACCCCCTCTAACTACAACCTGGTGTATAGACTTCATTCCAAATCACGTATTATTAAGTTTGAAAATCACGATTTCTTTCGTTAGATTTTTAAACTAATATTTATTCAATAACCTGATCATTTTACATCGTTACCGACTTCATGAACACGTATTGTTGATTTTCAAAATAATGTTATGTGTATGAGCCGATCTAATAATTTCATAACGAACGACATCATTGCCAACTCCACCCATGTTTGGTTTCAACAGCCTTGACTTATTAATTAACTAAGTGTTCTAATCAAATATTATTGGTTATACAAGATTTGATCACTTATATAATTATGATAGTACATTTAGATCTCGAAATTTCAACACGAATGTCAATCGTATTATCAAATATCTTTAAAGATGGGTTCCCTTATTTTCATTTATGAAATTTATTTTGCTTCAGATAAGTATCCCACCTAGGGGCACCAGTAAAACATGACATCATTCGCAAACGGTCGCTAACAAAAGTACAGGTCTGTTTTTAGATTTTCATAGTTTATTGTATGTAATCAAAATAGGTACACTACTGCGTTCAATCTACTAATAAAGAACCGCTAGATCTGCCACACTGCAATGTTAACAACATTACATTTGAACAATCACCTTTTCTTTGAATAATAATATCAACTCAAATGTTGTCTTGGATTATGAAAATGTAACAAATGAAAAAACTATTATTTGGAACTAAATGTTTAAAACATGTTTGGAAGATTTTGGTGTTAAATTACTAGGGCTCACTGTGGTTGCTTTTTGCCCAATATTTCGTGAATCCAATCCCGACTGAGTAGTACAGTTGACCTAAAGACCTAGTGAGATAGAAATCTTCAAAATCAAACTGCTTTTAAAATATAATGTCTCTTTCAAGGCCACTGTGGATGTATAATGGACAATATTTAAATGTTAAAACTAAATCGAACCAATTGCTATTAACCTAACAAGGGTTATATAAATATAATAGGTATAAGACAGTCAACAAATAAAATAATTGCACTGAATAACCACGAAACGATCACCTGTAACACTCAGTCAACCTTACCAAGTTTAATAGAGAGAGGAAATGAACCGACAAATTCTAGCCAATCATTGATTGTTAACAGTGATGTTTACCAATAAATTAATGACTTTTTGGCGATAGTTTTCCGTTTTCACAGGTATAAAAACATGTACTTTTTTGTGATGAGTGAAAGTAATCTAACCAAGTGGATCTAGTAAACCTGAAGGATTTCTTCACAAATGTAAGGTTTGTGAATATATTGATATCAGGGGCCATATTCCCCAAAACTTAACTTAAATAAAATCCAGATTTTAAGAAATACAGTAATCTGATTGGATAACAAAACAAATTTTAAAATCAATTTTTGTGATTGACCAATCAGATGACTGGAACACTACAATCATCTTAAGTTAGGTTTGAGAGAATAAGGCCCCCGGTCAGTCGTTAAAAACTTTAAATAGCACCGAAATTATAGAATAGAATAGAATAGAATAGAATAGAATTTGAATAAAGGTACAAAATAATAGAATAGAATAGAATAAAGAAAGAATAGAATAGAATAGAATAGAATAGAATAGAATAGAATAGAATAGAATAGAATAGAATTTGAATAAAGGTACAAAAAGGTGAAAATAATATTAATAGAATAGTACCGATATTGTTGCATAGAATAGAATTTAGCATATACCGCATATGATCAGAAGGGATGGTTATGTTGACATAACCTGTCAGGTCGCAGAGAAATATAATGTAACTTTAACCGATATTTTGATGTTTTTTTGTGGTTGTTAAATATCGTAGTTACAACAGGATGTGCATATGTGGGCTAAGTCCTTAAGAAGCCAGCTTCTATCATTTCAATTCATGTTATTATTTGATTTACCAAGATCTTGACACATATTTCTTTGCATGTTGCAATTAGATTATTTTTTCTTATATTTACCTTATGAATTATTACGGAGGCAAATAATAGTAATTGAACAAGTTCTCGCGTCAACGAGTTTTCTAACACAATACGATATCTAATTGTCAAATTTTCAAATTAGTCGATCATCATATTGTGTTCAAATCTTTTTTCTTGGTAAATCCATTATATTTCGTCCTACTTCAAATAGGCTATACTCGGTGTACAATATTTAGTTCACAACCCAACCCTCTTAGCAAATTTAGACATTAACTCAGCCCTATTGTCATCTAATTGTATTCTAGACTGCAATAAACTTCATTTCGTACAAGATGGATACAACAAAGCCTTTGTAATAAAGCCTCTCATAAGATGAAGATGGGGCTATAAGTCTTCTGTGTGGTTTTAACTAACATGGGATAAGGAGAGTTAGGCATTTCAGAGATAAGTCATAAACCGCTAACTCTGGTAGTATGTTTCCAATACGTAGGATAGGTAGGCGTATTCTTAACTTTGTTATGGTGTGATGGACATAGGATACAATTTCTAGGAAAAATTTCACTTCTAAACGAAAAAAAATATCAGATTTTGGATACATAGTAATGTGATTAGTAAAATAAACTCAAGCTAAAATGGATTAATGATTGAACAAGATGCAAATCTTAGTGAAAAACTCGGTTGCAGTTCTGAGGGCTTTGTAGGTGAATAATTGGTAAGAAAATAATAACCGCCATAGGTACAGGTATTTCTTGGAAAATATCTATTATTAATTATTATTCTTCATTAGATGCACAATAATTTATGAGCTCAAGGGAGAAAGTCTATTTTATCTCAATTTATCTTTTCAGAGCGCCAACGATTCCGAGTGAATAAGAAAACTGGTTATAGACCTCCACCACACGTTGTTCCATCACCACACCGAATAGTTCCAGATTCATTTAGAATGCCACAAAAACCGCGAAGCTTCTCCCCTGACAGAAAGGCGCAACACCCGCCTAACGCCAACAAAAAACACAGATCACCAACAAGGTATCGTTCGCCAGAGAGAAGGATCACTCACAAGACACCACAGACTACCACTGCTGCTCCGTCACATACGCCAAAGCAACTACCTTCACCACCAAAGGCAAAACAGACCCGTGAAACCTTATATCCCACACTTTCTGCTTTCTACCATCAACAGAATCTCGATTATTCTCCGCCAGAACCAACAGCAGATTATCCACACACAGATGATTTACCAATAAACAATTTCTACCCAAATCTGAACATACAGGTGCCCAGTGAAAATGTTTTTGACAATCGTACAGTGGTTAGTGTAGCTGACAATACTCTAGTTGATAATCAAAGTTGTGAAACGTATCCTACTAATATGAACATCAATGTCTCCGAAACGAAAGTGCTCAATGACAAACGTGTGGATCTCAATGAATCTATTGTGGAGAATGAACATCGCATTTCGGATTTCCAAGTTGAACCAAGTGCACCGCCAATTTATTTGATTGTTCCCGAAGAACAAGAACCGCAAATATGCATGTCCGGTGAAGATCTCGTTCGACCAAACAGAAACAGTTTTCAGAAAAAATGCGACGCAAGTAAATTTATTGATGAGAATACACCAACTATAAAATTCGTTGATCAAAGAGCCCCGATTAAGATGTCATATGCGGATAGAATGTCTGAGTTCGATATTGATAATCCACCGAAATCGAAGGCCGAATTCGCTCAATGGATGACATGGAGAAAGCAAGTTAATCGTCACATGGCCTCCATGATTCTCATCAAACAAGGTAAAGACGTTTATGTAGCACCATCAGAAATCAACAGAAAGCCTTTAGCGAAAACTACGATGAAATCTGTGATCGACAATTCGAAGGATAAAGGGAAGATTACCTCTCTCGGAGGCAAACCGTATGTTATGTATGGAATACCTCGTGCTAAAATTACTGGATGAAGATTGCCATATTGTGTCCAAAATTGATTGAATATGCTTATAGGCGTCTTATAACTAGTCCAAATGGATGACAATATTAATGCAAAGGGAATTCTATATTTTTAGAGCCAATTGGTATTCTTGCAAAATTACAATATGGGACCTATTTTGTTTACGTTATTTATGCGTATTTTATTGTGTTATTTATTTCATTAGTGGTTATAGATGCTGTTACATATGCTATGGGAAATCTACTGCACTATATTTGTAGCTTTCTAGTGCATTTTATTTCTAACGTGCTCAAAATGCGCAGTACAAACGTTAATCAATTTTGTGGACTCATGGTGAGTGCTTTGTGTTTTAACTTGTTTGTCTCGCAAAGCCTTCTATTGGCTATATCAGACAAGTATTGGATATACCAGAAATTATTTGGATACACTAGCTGGCGATTGGCTCTACCAGCATCCGAGCGGATAAACCAAACATTGACTGGATAAACCATCCAAATACTGAACATACCAAACTTGTTAGATATACCAGATTTAGTTTTTTTACACTAGCTCGCGATTGGCTAAATCAGATACTACTGTATTGCATGTACATTGTAGTTGTTTTCTTTCTTGTACTGGTTAACGATGATTGTTCTATTATTGTATGGTTGGTAGATTTTTAGTGCTAATATTTTATACTATTATTTAATAAAACTGTATTAAAAATTGTTGTTTTAAATGACAAAATGGAGACGTACGTAGATAGTGAACGTACCCAATACAGTTGGAATTCGAAAAGTTAATGCTAATGTTCTAGCAAGATATCCCTCAATGCACAGGTCTTGCGATCCTTGCCTTAGGATATCCTAGAAACCGTGTTAAGAATTAAGACCCTGGGACATCGTAGCGCTTAGATCATTTCGAGAAAATGCGTCTGGACTCTTAAGAATAACGTCAAGGAGAGGGTCCTTTATTAGTGCAGATAGTACTATGTAAAATGGATTTCTATTGACCAGTGCATAATTGAAAACTTGTTTCCATCTGAAACGACTGTCATTATCAATAACAATGGAACCCATTTACTATTCTATTACTATTAGGCCTAACCACGTTCAAGAGATCGTTTTTATATACCAGCAAACTGATACTAAACGATACGTATATGCTTTAGGTCTTATATAATTCGTAATGAATAAAGAAGACCGTTTCAGTATCTTATTGACTATCGAATGTCATCTGTCAAAGCCATCGTCGTTTATTTGTACCACTATACATCAATATTTTTACCATTGATATCAAGACAACACCCTAAATATGGGCGGAACGGTTTTTCGGGGGAACAAAGCCAAGCGTATTCATCCATGCTATTACGTCATAAGGCAGTCAATAAAACTGAGGTTTATTAAGAAGTCACTGACCCTATTTAATAGTTTTTCAAATATCTTTCAATCTATAAGGCTAATTATTATTTACCCATTTCTGATTGACGAGTCAACTTTATTACACGTTACGTGATTTTGTTGACAATTTCGAGTGACTCTCGGGGTTTATTAGATCGCAAGAGGGCTGGTCAATGATATTGATACAGTTGACATTAGTGGCAAGTAAATTTGCCGAATCCCTACCCCTCAAGGATCACAAGTCATCGGTGGCTTTCTACTTGGAGCATTGTTGAGGTTTACCACCGAATCTCCTTATTTGTGTAAACACTATTTATAAATCTAAATCTAGTAAAATTTATCAATTCCTTCCCTTAAGTAGCGTTCAAAGGGAGGCCATAACTCCCCACCACCTCCACTGTCAACATTTGTTATCATTTTACATAGTGAAAGTATGTCATGATCACCAAATTCATCTATAACCCTTAAGCAATTTTCACGAAGCATTGCTCACAGATCGAGCATGAGATCGTTCTTGTAGTTCAATTTCCTATATATAAAACTGTAAGAATACATAAAAAAAAACTTAAATCTCTTAAAACTGAAGCTGCTTGAACAAAAAAGGGAAAGAATCACATTGATCGGACTACAGACCACATATAGGCTAAAAAGATTTTTTTTTAAAATGACATTCACAGAGGTATCCAATTACTAAAACAAACTATGTAGCTGGTCGGATTCGTCTCTCTTGCCTTTTTATTTCCAAAATTCAGTTAAATTCAGTATTTGATCCAATCCTAAAAGACTGCTCTTTTAAAAACACATGTACCTAAAAATCCCGAGATGTAATTTAGTTGTGGTCTTAATTGTGAATACTCATTTACGTACCTTTGAATTATTATATTAACGATAAGCGTCAAATTCAATGAACGTTCTATACAAAGATGTCTAACCGTACAATCCAATAATCACGTGATTAACTGTAAACAACCTTTAGATACTAAAAAACCTCACCTGGTAAACTTGTATTTCCTTTTTTTTCAACAATTTTCTATTTTTGAGGATATGAAATTATGAAAATTGCAATTTTAGGAGCTACAGGACCTACAGGCCAAGCCTTGCTGAAACGTGCTTTAGATGCAGGACATAATGTCGTAGCGTTAGTAAGGAATCCAGATGGTATATCAACTAAGCATGACAATCTTCAGGTATGCTATTCAATTCATTTCTTTATTCCTTTACGTCAATGGCCCATCAAATACTTTATATTATTTCTGCCAAGGAACTGAATCTCTTAACTATACAAGATATTAAAATAAGATATCTCTGTGATTGAAAGACACTTGAAGACCAGTTCCTATCTTGCTTCTTACGTCTGTATCGGATGAAGATTAGTGGCCAACAGTCGACCCTGAATTTATTTGGGAACCGGTGTGGGACCGTAGCTGATGTCAGTTTGGAGCCGCTTTTTCCTATGATACAGGTCAAAAAAAGGAAGGAGGGGTTGAACGAAATACTTCTATATCATTTCGAAAATTAGGAAAAAGAACCTATCTAGACAATATAGATTAGTAAGACATAGCATCACCTATACTTGAGGGCCTAATACTGTATCAGGTAGCTAATATAGCTAATATTGAATAGCAGACGAAACTTACACTCATACGCTTCATATCCTATTGGTATATATACTAATATACAGGTATATAGGCTTACTATAGATAGTAACATGATACAGCAGTTTTATCAATGATTGATGAATCGGCGATTTATCATCGTGCTGTCAGACCAAGTAGCTTTATCACCTGGTTAGTTAGTCCTAATTTTAACCAAGGGTCCAAAACATTCACTACATGAGCTTATTCTCGATTATGGAGCAAAGATCGTGAGAAAGGGTTACTTTTAGAACGAAGTTCAATGTGATGCAATCATATACATGCATAAGTATGTCAACTCAGTTTCTCTAATCAATATCGTATCCTTATCCCATTTTCTGTCATGTAGAGGTAGAATAAGTTTCAAAGGGCTGTACCGTGTCTAAACCTTTCTTGGTGAGTTGAAAGGCAAGTAATCCTCGTACTGATACAATTGCAAACGTTTTCAGCTACCCAAATATATAGAGGCTTAGTAGAAAAACAACAAGACAAAATATGGGAAAAAGGTGATAAAAAAGCTCTCCACCCCTTCCCCCTTTTAAGCGATTACAAATGTTTGCTCTACACCACCCCCCTTTCCAGCAATTAAAAAGGTCTGCTTTACACCCCCTCTCCTCTCCCACTTTTCAACGATTAAAAATGTGTTCTCTAAATGAACTATTTTTTAGATAAGATACTTTGTATTTAAGGTGGAGAAAACAGACATATCAAAGGAAGATACGATGGTTACAGCGCGGAGAATGCGAT